CGTCGTCGTCGTCGTCGTCGTCGTCGTCGTCGTCGTCGTCGTCGTCGTCGTCGTCGTCGTCGTCGTCGTCGTCGTCGTCGTCGTCGTCGTTGTTGTTGTCGTCGTTGTTGCTGTCGTCGTTGTCGTTGTCGTCGTTGTCGTTGTTGTCGTTGTCGTTGTTGTCGTTGTTGTCGTTGTCGTCGTTGTCGTCGTTGTCGTTGTCGTGTTGTTGACGTTGTTTTTGTGTTGTTGTTCTTGGTGACGATGTTGCTGTGTAGTTGTCGCTCTTATGGTATCGTTGTTGCCGCCCTTGTCGATGTTGTTGTTGTTGTTATTTATTAACAAAATACGCTATACACTCAAATGCAAGATAACAACAGCTAAGTTATACAGGTGTCCCAAAAAAATGTTCCCTGTCATATTTGGTGGTATTACTTCGCTATATTTAATCAAAGGTTCATTTTTTGCAGTGGGCTGAAAAACAATCATATTATATTAATCGCAGTATTTATCTCACCAAAAGACTAAACCGTTCGGCTTCTAGAGATACTTAAGGTGGCGACACCAATTTTGCAACCCGTCCAAATTACAGAAATTAGGTTAAAAATAATGCAAACTTTGTAGAAGGATTTCTAAAGTTTCTACCCACCTTTCTGCTCAAAAACAAAATGATTTTTATCTCTATTATTAAACTTTTGTTTCTTGTAGAAATTAATAAAAAAAGATGAAAAATCCCTGGCAAATTGACAAAGGCAAAGCTAAGGTTGGGAAAATGCCTTAAATTTGCTGTTTCCGTTCAATTTGTTCCATGAAAGAGCAAATGTTGGGATTTCTGCACTAGTCTTTCCCCTTTTCTGGGGATTTGCTTCATTATTTTTACAGAAAATTAATTCGCGATTTTGGCTACAACTAATTACAAGTTTTAGAAAAGATATGTAGCCATTTACCATTAAAATATTTTATTACGTTCCGTAATATGTTTAAACCTAATATCCCGGCACAATTTGGACAAGTGGCAATATTGGTGTCGCCACCTTAGGTAACTCTAGAAGGCGAACGGTTAAATATTTTGGTGCGAAAAAATGCAACGATTAACGTATTAATATGTTCATTGATAAAAAAATGAAAACATTTCAATATTCGATTACAGGTAACGATGTCTCTCTTCTCCGCAGAGGCTTTAGTTTTCTTAGGATTTAATATTACGATGAAATACATTTCACTACACTTTACATGGCGGATCTTGGAACACGAGCGTAGCCGCTGGGCGAAGGAGCGCAGGCGTAACGATGTAGTGCCACAAAATATGTTGTTATATAGTTAGTGTCAAAGTTCAATTTTTCTGTTTGCCGATTGGTCAAAACCGTGTCACGTGCCGGTCCACAAAACGTCATGTTCGGCAACCAGTCCGCAATGAAACATTTATTGACGGAAATTGCTAGATAGTATACTTCAAAATAAGGTTTCCGTTTTTATATCATTTTTTTAAATAAGTTAGGGTTAGTTTAGGGTTAGGTTAGGGTTAGGGTTGGGGTTAGGGTTAGGGTTAAGGTTAGTATTAGGGTTAGGGTTTAGTTTTGTGTTAGGATGGTTTTTTCTACGTTTTAAAAACGGGAACCTTATTTTGAAGTATACTATCTAGCAATTACCATTTATTGACCGGTCAATAATAAAATGGGTGCAATACGCATGCGTGTCAACCATCAAGTTCCAAAGTTCATTTTTAAAACTTTTTACTAAACATTTACGGCGTTCCATTTATCCAGTTTTGGTTTCAAATTAAGTTCACTCCAATAACCGGTGAATTATTCATACTTTGACACTTATATACTATATAACAAAACACTTATTTACTGAGACCTCGGGAAAGCAATGTGTTTTGCCCTGAAATTTGTGGCCCCTCGACGACAACGACGACGTCTCGGGTCCACAAAACACACTGTTTCCCTCGGTCTCAGTAAATAAGTGATAAATAGGGGACATTTTTTGGGGGACACCCTGTATACATGTGCATTTTATATATTTTCATATATGGTTATATTTCAAACAAACTCCATTCTAAATTAAAATCAGTTGTATCTTTATGAAAGAACCTTAGAATGTAATGACCATAGCCTGCGTGGCAGGCTCTCTGGGTTTGGGGGAGGCGATGATGACCACTGATCTGTAATACATATTGCCATGACAACATGCATAGATATTGTTGAAGGCGAATACATTAAATCGTAACACTTAGCAACCCACGCAAGCATACTAATAACGTCATTGTAACCTAGCAACAACTCTTTAGGAGAAACTCAATTAAACTCCTACTAACCTTCCTGACGTATAGGACGTTTGCAAGAAACGTTGAGGAGCTTCAATTTATCTTTTTCTCGTAATTCAGACACGAACACGAAGAATTAAGGCTCTTCGCAAAAACTCGTCCCTTGCATCTAATTAAAATAAACTTTCGAACATTTTAATTGGATAAAAGCACTAGCTCGCAGCTTGCGAGGTCTCTTTTTAGAATTATTTTATCTGCCATATTTCATTCAGTGTTAATGAAATTAGTAGTTTATAATTTTGGTAGCAAGAAAGCTATAAATATTATCTATATTTTGATAAGACTAGCGCGTAAGATATTTTTGTCTCTGTATTTTTAGCCCCCATACTAAACTCATTAATGAATGCAAATGCTAAATATATTCACGAATTTGTTATATAACAATTATGATAGCACATTGTTATTAGCGTGGGCTGTCTAGTACGTATGTGGCTTAGCTGTTGTTAGGGTAATTACTTTATTTTTGAATTTGGCTTTGGTAATGTAAAAATAACTCCCACATATTTGTCAGTGAACGTTATCTGCAGCGTGTTTGTATAAATGAGAGGCACTCTGTCCTATTTAGGTTGAGAAAAATGGGTTTATTGCTTAATGAATGTATAGAGTCTTTGCTATTGTGGGATTGTCTATATTCACTGATTATCTAGTTTACAATCGGGCCTCCCAAATAGCAGAGACGCTGAAAGGAGGCCGTCTCCGTATATGAAGATGTTCATTTTAATTTATGGAGGATTTTAAAAGGAAATTAATTACGTTGGGACATTAGAAACGGTCGTACCCTCCCCTGAGAGCCGCTAGGCAGGTTAGAAGAAGTTTAACTATATAGACTTATTCGTTTTGAACTACCTAAAATAGATGAAGAATATTTCACTCCAACATCTAGGACACGCACAATACTTCATAAATGACCTCCATTTTGTGGAGATACATTTTTTACTATAGGACGATATATAGACCACTATAGGAGGATTCGGAGAACGCATTCTATATCTATTTCTAATTTTCGGACCTTTCTAGCCTCCTCCACAGGCATAGCCTTTAGATTGTCGGGCAAAATTAATAAGTGAACCACGAGATGCCTGCGGAGGAGGCTAGGACCTTTCTCTAGGACCTCTCTCCAATGAATATGCACAGCAAAATGTCCATATTAGCGGGTGTCCGCATTTTAGAGAGGATTTTGTAAAAGAATATAAAATTTTTTTTAAAGGTTTTGTCGGGTCATTGGGAATAGTCCATGCAGAGATGTCCAAGCGGAGAAGTTCGAATGTCGTTACAAAAGTTGAATGATGAATTGGGAACGTGAATGTAATGATTGTGGAATGTGGATGAATTTGCTCCGCATGTGGAAAAGTATATTGTGCATGGAAAACACGTTTCGTGAGGGCTCACGAAACGTGTTTCTGCTGGGGTCTACAACGTAGGCTAGTGGAAAGGTCGCAGGTTCAATTTCCACCGCGGCTATTCAGTTTGCCTGGTGTGGACACATTCAATAATAGCACGCGCAGCTGAAACTAACTAAACTAAAAACAGCTTTTGTTGCTAAAAACATCGATCTCTTATCGTACTCAGCAACATCAAACAATGTAGTCGGTAAATTTGTGTCTAAATTAGTCACTGAACGTGATGTCTGAACGTGATCTACACAGGCAGATGCTAACAGGTTGCAATGCACGCACGGTTGAAGGTAAAAATTACATTCTGCTTGGCATGCATGCCGATAATTGCACAATTTTTTGAGACGATCATTTTAGTCACGACTCAGTATAGCATTATGATTGACTAAATGAGTGCTACGCCTGTTTTATAACGGTCTGTCAGCCAGTATGGTAGTGCCAACTATGAGAAATTCGACTACATCTAGTTGACAAGATTGGAGACGTGTCCACACTTGTTCTCTACTCCAAAATGCCATTCCAAGAGCAGATGGCTCCTCTTCCATTCTGAACGTCTTCCTTAGCACGGGTGACAGAATAAGCACGCATGCACTTTAGATCGAGGGTGGAGATGTGCTTGAGAGTGAAAGCGAATGTAATTAGGGTTGCATGTGGTTGATTCTCCCTGGCCATGTGCTTCCAGTGTTTCTCTTCCGTTTTCCCTTCACAAAAAAACGAACTCTTCCACCCTAGCTCAGGTGCTCCACAAACATACATGGTTGGTATATGGTGGCAGGCAGTGGTGCCCACACTAAACGCCTCTGACCCCGTTTGAGCTTCGTCCTACGCAATTTAGCACTCGGCAACAAGGAAGGGCGGACCAGCTGCCTGCATCCTTGGGAACGGCAAATGTGTCTGAAGCGCTCGATTTAGTACTGCACGCCGAGCCGCACGTTGTGAACACGTATTACAACCTCGTAAAATGCCCTGGGTACGAGGTTGCACGTATTAAGAAAATTAGAAAACGCGCCAGTTTGCTTGTGTTGGGACACACGTGTCTACAGACACTCTTATATAAACGTGTACCACATTTTTTGCACAACTAGGAAATTCACTGATCATATTGTCGTTAATGTAATTATAATTCATGTGAAATGGCACGCGCGTAAAGACCAACAGCGTAATAGCGCCACGTGATCAAATGTTGCATCTGTAAGACTCCCTCTTAAAAGCACAGTACATCTGTCATCTCTTAAATTCTCTTCCTCATCTACCTTTCAAGCTTTTCCCACCAAATGCTATTTACTTTCATAATTACGGTTTATAAAGCATTAACATTAGCATTTAAAAGGCTATCGATTTCACGTTTATTGACTTACTTTAGTCGACCTTGAACTTTCGAATATTATGCTAATTTCCCACTGTTTGCTTGCCTTTTTGAATAATTAATTTTGCATCTCGTTATTATTGTGCCTAGCACGTATGACGCACGAAAATCAGCCTATTTTTATCCTAATTGCGCGTAAAACCTTCTTTTAGCTTTAAGCATGTATTTTAAAAACGTCAAAGATTTAAAATTGTACCAGCTGAACCAAAAACTCGGTCTTTTTATAACTTCTATTTATTTTTCAGCCACAGGAAGTTGAAAACACGTTGTTAGTAAACTTTTCTTTTTGCCACGTTTTCTATTAGTTTTCCGCGTGGGTCGAAAACGCCAACTTTAAGAACATTCTGACTATTTTATAAGACTCGAAAACTCGCTTAATAAGACTATAAAGAAGGGAACAAGCAACTTCGATTGTAAATAAATAGGTTACATGATACAAAATAGTACCATTTTTCAGGAAAGCAACACTTACAATTGTGTATTTACGTATTACACTCTATAACCTACGCGCATTTACAAGGCTTTGACGCAAGTAATATTTTTGACAGTCAAGCTTAAGGAAGTTATTATTTTACGTTTAAAAGTTCCTCTTTATAAGTTTTTGCCTGAAAATATCAATAATTTGGCTCTTAAATTGTCTATCTAGTAGCTATAAACATTAATGTCTTTTTCAATATCGTTCCAGTTCGCTTCAAGGGAATAAATCCCCTAAAAGGGCCCTAAAAGCCTTGTTGAAGAGGGGAATTTACTAGACAGAAATAATTTTTCATCGACGCTACGTAATTGCGGTTTGCATTCATTACATTCCGATGTGAGCCAATCACGTTGCAAGTTAGAGATGACGAACGTGTTTCAACCAATCAGGTACGCTGTTTTAAAAGTACCGGCGAAAATTCGAACGGAAGGGAATTTATAAAAGAGAGCGTCATTTCTATATGAATAGGTTTTGTATAAAGGTCATGGCCATAAAAACTAGACATTTGTGTAGAGATTTATCAAATACGACGAGTCTAAAGCTTTGTAATGTACGAAAGGACGTTCTCTGGTGCTCTCGGACCATACTTTTCTCAAGTAAAAGAAATAGCGGCCGGCGGGAACGGTAGAATTTTATCAGGAGTTGACACACGTTTCGATTTCCCTGTCTGTATTAAACGAATCTCAGTCGCGAATAAAGATGAATGTCGAGCTGCTCTGAGGGAAATTCGTATCAGAAGACGTTTAAGACATGAAAATATTGTTGGTCTTCTCAATGCCATCGTTTCCGACGGTACCGAGATTTCAGAAATCACACCGGCGAATTTTAGGGAGACCAGTTGTATATTTCTTGTTCAGGAGCTGTTGGATGCTGACTTGAGACAAGTCATTGAAAGCAATCCTCGATTATCTGACGACTATGTGAAGCTGTTCTTTTATCAGTTGTTGAGGGGATTGAAGTATATTCATAGTGCGAATGTATTACATCGTGATCTTAAACCATCTAATGTTATGATAAATATTAACTCTTTACAACTAATGATTGGGGACTTCGGTCATTCGATGGTGTTAGACCCCAAATATTCTCATGGGAATTCTGTAACAGTATGTGATACGAGTCTATGGTACAAGGCGCCAGAACTTATACTTGGCACAGATCAATACAGTACTGCAAGCGATATTTGGGCTGTGGGCTGCGTCTTAGCTGAAATGCTGTTGAGTCGACCATTGTTCGAAGGAGAAAGTGATTTAGAACAATTAGAACTTATTATTCACGCAATTAGGGTGCCCCCAAAAGACCAAGCTTATATTCGCACCTTTTTGACAGACGAAGTGAACACAATGTACTCTGGAGAGCCTAAATTTCCACTGCAATCGAAATTTCAGAAAATTGACTGCCAAGGTATGTGACAATTTTTTTGTATGCATATTTTGAATATTGCCACCCATCGAGGGCCATTGTAAACCGCAATACAATACATCGTTTAATATTTGAGGAATATAACATGACACTGCTATATTTTTGGGGCAAGATAGGAGCATTTTAGATATACATAAAAATTCCGTGCCATTTCGTGGTGCAATCGAACACGTTGTCCGCTTGTTGACCTTCAAGCTCAAAGTGTCAAGTTTAACACAGTTTCGCTTGAATAATTAATCCCTAAAGCGAAATGTTCGTTTTCAAGCATGAAATGCCATGTCTTCCAGTTTATTAGCCTGTTTATAACAATATTTTGAAATGCCAGGTGAATGTGGTGTCTGGCCATAAGTCTGGGTACTGTATATAAATATAAGCCTCCGTTATTGCGTAAGCAGGCGGTAATATTCTCATATTAATATTTGGCTAACCGCTTAGATGTTGCTCGTAAATAGGTGTTCTTAAATGTTCTGCAAAAATAATGCAAGTGCTTATCAACAAGGCTGTACCATGTGATAACATCATTGTTTTAATTTGTGAAAGGCCGTGTTTACAAGCCTTTGGGTGATAATATTAACTATTTATTAATTTAAATGCAAGGTTAACTTGAAACCTTATCTATGGTTTATACCGGCACAGTAAGGCTTATGTTCAGTGCATAAAAGGTGCTTTATATGGTTTTAAATGCAAAACATTTATGGCAAACATTTGTCTATGTTATGACTAGGCAATATTTAATGAAGTACAGATAGAGGATTTTTAATTAGGTGTTAGCACGTAAACATGTTTCTGGTAAATAGCAGTCATGGGATCACCTCATGACTTATTGCATTTCAAATGCATTTCCTTTATGATTGACAGTTGATGTTTACCCTTATATTCCCGGTCAGTAAGGCATCTTGACTAAGAGAAGTCCTACAAATAACGATATATGACAAAGGATCTGCATTGCAATTTTATTGCAGTTCAACCTCTAATTAATTAACATGCTACATACGTGCATCACCAGGGGTTTATTGGGGTGACATTTGATGTGTTGTATGGAGGGCAAGAAAGTATTTTGTTTGGGAATGTCAATCGGTGTCTGTTAACTAGAGATTGAACTGCATATGTGGAAGGATCTTTGAATGCAGCACTACCGCTACTAACTACACGACGAAGGGCCTTTGCTCAAAACATTGAGTTTCACTTGTATTTTTTAGGCAGTTGAATCCCTATCCGTCTGCACTATAATCCTCTGTATTGCTGCTGAGCTACCTCGACATCCAGTTGCAAAAAATTAGCTGTATACTTAGGTTCAACTTTGGCATTATTAATAATTTGTGCTTCCGATTGCTGACATCTAGTGATTTTGACATTCCTGCCGTTAGAAACAATTAGAATGATTTATAAAAGATGTATTTCATGCTGTGTTGCAGCTCATTAAAGTTACCAGAATATCTGTTGCCAAGCAACATCTCCACATAACAGTTGTCTCCAGGTAGCAATACAATGCAGTATCTTAGAGGAATTTATATTTGAAGTTGAACACTATATTCTTCTATCTGGCATAAATATATTGAGTTCCACGGGAATACGTGAAAAATGTATGAACTTTTTGTCCAAACTACCTAACGTGATTAAAATCTCTTTGATGTTTCGAACAAAGGTCCTTCATCCCTCTTGTGCACTCTCAGAATAGTCTTTATCTGAAGTTGACAGGTTTCAAAGCCCTTCAGTGCTTCAACCCATTCTAGTCTTGTTAGATTATATTGAAATAACTTTTTGTATAAAATGAATGTGCATTCAAATTGTGATTTTGAAATGTTGCTTAGAAAGTGAGGCAATGTAGGTCAGTGTTTAGACACCTGTTGTGAGGGGGCAGGAAAACTTTAAAGAAATGAGATGAAAAGCAGACACCTCAACCCACATAAATCTGATAGGAATAAAATTATGATGAAGATAATAAATAGATGTTTTAAAGCAGATGTTCAATTTAAAAGGCTTAGGATATTGCCAAATAATTATGTCTAGTCACTGGAGGTTAGAGCTTTTGAAATAAAACAAATAAATCCGGTCACCTGCTAGATTTTATGATTTTGTCTAGATAAACACTCTCATTTTACAGCATAACTATATATGTCCACACTTTTTAGTCCAGACCCCCACTCAAAATGCTAGGTGCTTTGAATTTTCCTGGTGATTTTTTGTCTTGCAAAATGCATTTTCTTTTGGCCTGCTGTTAAATCCATACTAAACTGTTTCTAGCAAATTTAGCTGGTTATATTAATCAATATATAAAACTTATAAAACAACACAATGAAATTTCATTTGTTCTTATTGAAATTTCATTTCAATCAATATATAAAACTTATAAATAAACGTTCATGGGGAATGAACTTTTATAAAACAAATGTTTTCACTTTTTTCAGCATTCCATTTACTTGAACGCCTACTCTCCTTCAATCCTGACGATCGTGTTACAACAGAGGTAGCACTAAGTCATCCATTCCTGAACGAGTTTGCCTGTGTCGCTGACGAGCCTGTGTGCTTGAAACCCCTACACCTCGAACACGAAGTTGACGATTTCTTAGAATACACACTGAAGGACCTTATTGTTGGGGAGTGTGTTGCTTTGGCTGAGGAGCAACCTCGTATACACTTACAGATGTCTAGCTGTTCCAGTCTGAATGATTTAAGCAAAGATTGTCATGTTAGTCCATCTGAGAGTGCCTCACAGTCCATGGAGGAGAGAATTAGTTTGGAACTCAAGACAGTCAGTGAAGACTACCATGAGGTTATTATTTTTATTATTATTAATTTTTAATGGTTTTACAGTTCGTGACATTCAGTGTCTGCAAGCTGATCAAATTTATCATTATCAGACGTTATTAGTTATTATTATAATTTATTATTAGTATTTATCATTATTTTTCTTGTTATTATGTAAATTTTAAATCTTGGATCTTTTCTGGAATGACCCAGTACATTATTTATATTCCAAACATATTTTTTTCAGGAGGGGTCGAATGAAAATGAATGCAGCCGCTTCAAAGTTTTGGAAGTCCTTAAAGAAGAACATGGTTCATCCAGTGATAGCAATGGACTGGCAACTCATGAGGAAGGCGTTAGCGAAGCACCTTTGGTATCAGACCATCCTATGTATAGCAGCTCAAAATGGGAAAAAGAAAGGCATAAATTAGGACATCGAAAGCACCATCATCATCACAGACGAAAGAAGAAATTCCATTTGAAAAGTCCAAGTTCTGAGACTGAACCATCCTTGGACTCTAATAATGGTGGACGTCTACACGAACATTCGTTTGATTCCAATTGTCGTTTACCCGAAGTTCATGTTTCCGGGGAGGACATACCGGGGAATCATGTGTTCAACAATTCTGTAGAAGGACAGTCTTTGTCGCCACATGAAGTTCCTCCTTTGAAAAATTCAACAGCCGTGCTAGCCCAGGATGATAGGGTTAATGATCTAATAATGAGATCTCGTCAACTGATAGCTGACCAGGTCATAGTCATAAATGAAGTCCCTGCCATTACTGATATATGTTGCACCGTGACTAATTCTGATCTAACTGATGTATGTGGGTCAGTCCAATCTCCTATGACTGGCGTATGTAGTTCTCTATCCACTAAAGCTGGTGTAAATTGCGTCTGTAGTACTGTATCATCCAATTATGGTCATACTGATGTCTGTAAATATGTAGCTCCGAACGAATACCCTGTAGTACCTATGGAAATTGAGCAGGCAAAACCCAAAGTTGAGAAAAACATTTCGTCCTCTGTTGGAGATCTTAGTGTCTTGAGTCATCATAAATCTACGGCGGATCTCGGCGTTGCAGAGGTTATACGGAGATCGCAAGAACTTCTCGGGGAGGTTTGTAGATCTAACACTGGCGAGGCGAAAACGTTAGTTGCACATGAGATTGATCGTGTGCAGGATTTGATTACGAGATCGGAACAATTGCTGAAATCTAAAGGAGTTGTACAGAGTAAAGATACAACGGAACACAGCCCTGGTGTTCCAGTGGAGAAAAACGAGAGGGATCATATTCAGGATCTGATTTCAAGATCGGAGCAACTGCTCCAGTCTAAAAAAATCAGGGAACTGACTAACAATCAATGTAAACACTCCGAGGAGAAAATCTTAATGAACGGAATTTACTCTGTGAAGGATTTCATTCCAAAATCTGAGCTTAAGGGTAATGAAATCACGGAACGTTTACAACCTGTGAATGAACAAGGAATTGCAAAACATTGTGGACCAGAGTTTGCCACAGAGGACAAGGTTTGCAATTGCCCGCTAACTTTTACGGACAAGTCCATAGATTTGACAACACAACCACCACCTGCTAACCACCTTCTAGCTAAAAATTCCATTATCCACTCAAGTGTAAAAGATAACTCTCCGTGGGTGAGCTCGCGTGACCACCCTCATCTCAAAGAGTCGGGTAGGCGGATGCAGGAATTGTTGGAAGAATCACGTACCTTAGTCAACAGCTTAAAAACGAATGAGATGCTTGAGGCTGAATCTGCTTTGATATTTGAAGAAAAGTGTGGAAAAATTGCATGCGAGGAACAGTGTGAAGAGTTTAGTCTGAAGAAAACGAACAAAAAGGAAAATTTTGACAAAGGCCTGGACGGGATAGATTTGAATGAAATGAAGTCAGTTCTGGATCAGGCCAAAAAGTTATTAGAAAAATCTAACAAGTCGAGTGCAGACAATGCGAAAGAGAGCTTAGAAATGAATAAATCTGTGAATGCTATGGATGTTGATGAGATCGTGGAAGGGAATGAAAGCGGTGAGGGGAATTTAACAAAAATGGAAGTTGACCAAAATATAGAAAACACTACTAAAGATGTCTTGAAAGATTTCTCATGTTTCCAGAATCGAGTTGATTTCGCCACTGCCATATTAGAGCCTGTAGCTACAATTGAACAAGCTGCCATGTTTGAAGTGAAGTTAGTCCCACCTCTTGAGAAACAAACAACGCGATTGAACTGTTGTTTAGCACGATCGGAAGACTCTGCGATTTCTAGCGATTTAGGGAAATGCATGGTCGAAAAGAACGATCAATTTCATACAGGCAATGATTACAAACAAATTCTTGTGAAGAAAAGATCGAATGATACTTTATCCGAAACAAATGATGATAACACACCCAAACACTTTAAGAACAACAGTGTGACTTTGCCCGATGTTAATACATCAACAACAGTTTGTGATCCGGTAGTGGACACTCCTCACAACGGAATGGACGCAGAGCGAAGCGAAAAACATTGCTCTGAGTATGATAGCAAAATACCTCTACTGAACGGGTTCAATACAGATTCGTTAGACTTGAATGTTGATAAAAGGTTAATTGCGGATTCGAACTGTAAAACTGACGTAGCTGTTTCGAAAAATCAATTCGATAAGAACGGTTATAAACCAGGAAAATATTCACCGAAATATGAGCCCATTACTACCCGACACCATAGAGATGTTTACTCGAATACAGTGATAGGACACTTCAATTCTAATGAAGTTGTAGACCAAATTTGCGGTAACACTTGTCGAATGGAAAACAACACAAGATTGAACTCGAAGGATAGTGCGAGACTCCAGAGTTTTTACGCAACTCTAAAGATCCAATCTATTATGAGAAGTCGACGCTCTCATCGAGAGAAACGTCACGACACATATCCATTTTAGATGACCAAGATAGGACAATATATTACTTATAATTTATATACTAGAACGTTCTTAAAATTTGTCAAAATATTAGTGAGTTTCACGAAGCGCTATCGTGCAGCAGATGGTGGTCAACCTTCAGTTATCAGAGTGAGAAAATAATGTTAGATACACGTAAAAACGCCCAAGTTGTTACAGATGAGTCGATCTGCAAACAAGTTGTGACAAGGTTTGTTGTCAAGCCCCAATATCAGGACGTGTTCGCACTGCTTGTTCCCAGTTGTTGTGACAAGTCTGGAACAAGTGGTTATCACCTTGTTACAAGGTTATAAGTTAGAGTTATAAACCGACTTTCGAGGTTTATAACTAACTTATTTCACATTTGTGGAGGTTTTCTAACATATTTTGTCATTTTCAAAAATTTTTAGTGAAAAATTCTCAAGTTTTGTCTACAAGTTTAATCTAATAATTTATTCAAGGTATATAAGCTAGTTATAAACTTCGGACGATCAAAGAAAACCGACACAAATGTGATATAATGACGGTAACAGACTTGCTACAAGTTGTTCCAACAAGTCTAATACTGTATTACAACTTGTTGCGAGTCTGTTGGCCTCACCAACCTTGTTACAAGATGGCAACAACTTGTTCTAGACTTGTCAACAACTGGGAACAAGGTGTGGACATTTCTGGAGTTGACTACCATCTGCTGCTCTGTGTAACACTCACTGAAAGCCACCATGTAATATTTTTGGAGGAGGTAAGGTTGAGGTTAGACGTAGATGATATAGGATATATACACATAATTTATTCAATCTATAAAGCTTTATTTGCATTCTTAATTTAAGGACAATTTTATGGATATTTTATTAACGTGTGTTCTAACACGAATTTTTAAATTTATTGTATTAATAAATGGAGCTTTTTTGCTTGATTTTGTCGTGTGTTGTTTTATGGAAGGCATCCGTTACATAGGTATTCCATTTGGGACACGCCCATTTTGCGGTAAACGTTAGGTCTGTACCAATCTGACCAATCTCGTTGCATGCCCAGTACCTAACCTGCGAACGGGCATACTCTGGGTACGAGATTGGGTCTGCACCCCCTACCCCCCACTCGCTATGTCGACTGTCTGTAAGAACTTCGCATTTTCTAATAACGCAGTATAATATTTAAAATGTATAATAATTTTTAAAAACATTAAGTTTTAAAAAGCAGTTTTGTGTCATTCACTTTAACACATGGTGTACCAGAGCTCGCTCCCCCACCCACCTTGATGAGTAAAATCGTCTGGCTTTAGACAGAGTAAAATAATACTGTAAGGTCGCATGAAGCCGTGATAAAAAGCCTATTGCCACTCCAGTTCACATATAGGTCAGTGGTTGGCCGTGCTTTTCACTCTGGGGACTTGGTATCGAATGTTTATATTCTTGGAATTTCAATTTTGTAAAGTGAAAGTTTCGAAATTTTTGTTTCGTTTCGTGTGAAAACTGTCGGAAAGATTTCTAAATTTTAAGAAAGGGTGGCAACGCTAAAAAGCATTTTGAACAAAGAATATCTTGCCCTTCTCTTGCAGGTACGGCAATTTAATATAAAAGTATTACATCAGACAACAATGATACGATTTTTTGTCAGAATTTGATGTGGTATATTACTATATTTTTACTGTGTATTGACTTTTAGACAAGTTTGGGACGAGGTTGGGTCTTTTATTATATTGTAGATAGTATTGGCAATAGACCTTGCATGTGCAGATGATCAAATGAGCTGTGCTTCAAAGTCTGCACAAAAAAGAAAACTACAGACTTCTGGTGAGTATCGAGTAGACATGTGAAATGACTGATGATAAACTAAAAATTTTAATATACTGGATAGCTCTGTCAGTGTTCTCCTGAGAGGTCCAGTAAAGCCGGTTTTCCATTAGTGAATTTTTTTCACGCAAAGCGACTTTTTCCTTTGTCGGTATCACTTATTATGTCAACAAGATGACAGACGTGGCAAAATGGATGCCGACAAAGGGAAAAGGTTGCTTCGCGCGAAAAAATTTGCAAGTGGAAAACCGGCTTAAGGGGGTGTTGATATGGAGGCGAGCCAGTCGGCTATCTGAGCCAGCCTGCTATTTGAGCCAGCTCACTTTGCCGAGCTCATTTCATCCCGTGTTCACATGAGACTATTGAGGCAGGCTAGTGGCTCGCCAAAACAAACCACTGCTATAAATAGTATAATACCAATATATTTTCTCACGAATCTGAAATACAGACTGTTTGTAACAAATTGCTACGAGCTTGTTTTCATCAACTTGTTAAAAACTTGTTACGAGCAGACGATACAACTTGTGGTTCCGGTTTCATATCGTGAAAAAATTAGGGTTGGTAGGTTGGAAGTAAATTTTTTTTTGAATATTTTTTTCATGGTTTTGGCGGTTTTCTGCTGGGCGATTTGCATTAGAGTCCCGACATCAATATTAATTAGAGATGTGTATTTCCTATGGACGAATTTAGGCAATTTGGTTCAATAATTAGTGTGACAACAGACGCCATTTTGGCACGCTGTATGAGCAGCCCGCAACCACCTGGAGAAAATAGGGTCGCACGGTCAATCGCGTTGAAAAAAAATAATAGGGTCGGTCGGGAACCGGAACCACAGGCATTTTTTTTTACACCTCATCAACGTTGTTACCTTGACTGGAAAGTTTGGAAATTGCATGCACAGCTGAGATTTTGCAAATTTAATAGTAAATATATAGAAACCATCAAAATTTGCACCCACGCAATACAAACTTTACACACTGGGTTGTTACTGTACAAGATGATACTGTTCAACTTCTTCCAGATTTGTCAACAAGCAGTGTGAACATATATGCTGTGAGATTTTCACATGTGTGATGTAAGTGTCAACATGTCAAGCTATGTCAACAACCAGTGTGAACATATATGCTGTGAGATTTTCACATGTGTGATGTAAGTGTCAACATGTCAAGCTATTCCACTGTAATAAATGTGCAATTGTATTTTGCAGAATGTGAGAAACCTGCAAAGAAAAAAATGGCCTGGGATTCATTTACTTCAATTAAAGATTTTGGTTATGAGTTCAATGAAGGTAATATTGTCATTAATGACAGCCATCAGATATCAGGATCTGCAACAAGCTGTCTGGATTGACAACTATAATTAATTTGTATAAATCTTTAGAAGGTCGTCTTGTCGACATTGAAAATGGAGATGGCTTCAATTTTTATGTCAGCGATGAGCACTGGTACAATCAGCAAAACTATGAAAAGCTTGGAGAGGTACAGTATATAGTATTATAAAATAACATGTATATAACGCGTGCTCTGATTGGTCGAAACCCGTGTTTGGATCAGGCCATCCAAACACGGAAGACTATCGTGTTGTTGTTATTTTATAAAACAATTACTTTATGGTTTCCGTGTTAGGATGGCCTGATCCAAACACTTGGGAATGTTGCTCGAGTTAAGAAAAGCGCGCAAAATCACTCGCCTTCGGCTCGTGCTTCGCGCGCTTTTCTTAACTCTCGCAACATTCCCGCGTGTTTGGATCAGGCCATCTAAACACGGAAACCATAAAGTAATTGTATATTGCACACTGCTGTTATTATTTACTGTGTCTAACTTCAGGGGGGAGTACTGACCCTAGTATAACAAGGTGTTGTTATCCACTTCCATCTTCAATAGACCTTTCCCCTTTTGAGTGAAAGTTTGATCTAGACAAGTCTGGAAAGAGCATCACAAAATTAATAATATTCCAAAGTTTCGTTGCAAAATGTTGTAAAATGCGGATAATATAGCCTTGCGAAGTTTGCCGTTACGAAGTTTATACAAAACTTTTAGTGCAGATGATCCTTGCAAGTGTAACTCTGTCCGTAGTCTAGCTGGACTCCCTGTCTTAAATTTTGTATTTTAAGGCAAAGCTAATAAATAAAAATAAAATAAATAAAACATACTTTAGCCCATTGAGCGCCAGCATTTTCCCTTGACGAGTAAAATTGTCTGGCATTAGCAGAGTAAAATAACAAAGTAGGGTGCAATGCAACTTAATGGGTTGGTGTTCAAACTATTCTAGGAATAGTCTGAGTTAATGCATAACTAACTGGTCAGTGGTTTTCACAGAAACATTTTCATTGTGTAAATTACACCTTAATATTTTACTCTGGTTGTCGACTTGTCGTAGGTAATAACAGAAGACGTTTATGAATTATTGCAAAGTGAGGATGTTGGATTAAAAAAGTTGGAGATTCCACTGGACAAAGAAGAATCTAGTTCACTTTTAGGCTGTGCAAAACAGGTATGAAATTAATACCTTTCGGCCTGTTCTTCAGTAATATGGGTCATTCCAGAAAACATCCATACCTAGCTCCCCCACAGAGGAAAGTGGAAGCTAAGCCCCCTACCTCTTTTGGATGTCCTAATGCACTTATGATTATCATTGATAATTGTACTGGACCAATAAGAGATGGCCATTACTGGACCTCCAGAGAACAGTTGAGAACTGATACAGCTATCCAGTCTAAAGTTAGTTAATTTCCCGATTCTGTATATACAAATTCTGCTTATGTTTTCAATCTTACTAATATGTACATTTTAGAAGAATAAGGACAGTGCCAAAGGATTTATTTTTGTGAGTGAAGATTATGATAAGAAAGAAAAATTGTTGGTCCTGGTCCATGGCTCTGGCGTGGTGAGAGCTGGTCAGTGGGCCAGAAGGTCGGTCATTTTTGTTTATCAAGACAAATTTTGAATTTTTGTTAACTTTGAAAAACTTTGTAAATGGTAATAATTATGATGAACATGTTACAGATTAATAATTAATGATTGTCTGGACCATGGAACACAGATTCCTTACATCAAGAAGGCGATACAGGTGAGAACATTTACAAACATTCACCTGTGAAGTTGCTGCCATAATTTGTGAATGCAGCGTTTGTGTAAACATATATGCATTTGTTAAATACTGTTAAATTATAATTATAAAAGTTAACCATATAACCATGCAAATGTTGCCAAAGTTACGAAATGTTTTTTGTCCTAGGAGGGTTATGGAGTAGTTGTCACGAACACAAATCAGAATGAAGCCGTACTTGTTAATGCGAAAGGAAAGAAAACGTACAAGACAATTAAGGTAAGGCATGATTTCTGATGAAACTAACAAGTGGAATTAAACACAGAGAGATACAATTACCTCAAAAAGATTTTGATGTTTCAAGCAAAGTGAAAATACGGGATATTAGGAAAAATTTTTTGGTGACTCGCCCCCAACCCCCGCTTGCCAACAATTTTGGGGAGAAATATTAATTGGCAACTAACTAACCAGCCCCCCCCCTCCCAAACAAGATTAGGCCCGTACGCCCATGTTTGTAACCAAACTTTGGTGACAGACACATAAAATGCTACTGTACATGCTACCATGCAACACTGCTGCACCCCAGAATTGAAGGACAACCATTTGTGACAACCACAAGACATAATATGAACAAGCTTGTCTACTAGATATTGAATTGTTATTGTTGTAAATCTATTTAATATATTTCTTCAGGAGAGTGAATCACCCGAGAAACATTTTTCCTACGTTTGGAAGAATATTATTGAAAAGACACAAGCTTCGAAAATTTTCGCCGTTGCACATAGCTATGGCGGTTATCTTGTTGTCAATTATGTAAGTTATTTTTCTTTTGTTTAAAGTGCCTCTAGACAAGTTTCACTTAAGCACTCTCCTGCAACAGATGATTTTGTATTTGGAGGCAAATGAATAGAATTAGCCTTTCTCACGATGACGAATATCCGCCATTTTTGGGTGGCATCTAAATCTCGTTAACCAATGCAGACAATTAAAACAATGTGAAAAGCAATTTTTCAAAACAAACTAACCTTTTACAAAGCAAATTTACCATCATTCATCCAAAAAATTATAAACAGTCGCTGTTATGTGGACTTATATCTCGCAGACTTCGGCTGAAATGCCACCCAAAAATAGCGGCGTGAGAAATGCTAATTGAGTTTAATTTTCTTGCGTTTGCAACATTTCTTAAGTTGACTTTCCATCTTCTTTGTTGTATAAACGATTAGTAAAAACCCAAGAATTAACATGGCGACGTTTTCTTTCAGTTCTCGCGCTTTCCAGATATCTTGAAGCGAGTGGTTGCAGTTGCATTCACAGACTCCGTTCATAGTTTGAATTTTGATTCGAAAGCTAATGTGAGAAAATGGTTTCTCAGTGTAAGTGGCTTTACTTCTAATACTTGTTTCGTTGGTTTGATTTCCATATTAGCAATTAACCTCATTGGATACAATCCTCAATGCGTTCCTTACCGGTAATGCTAACATGTCTAACATCAGTAATCTTATTTTCTTAAGAATTCTGTGAACTGGGTTACCTCGTACGAAGATCTGGACACACCGATGTCACACCAAGAGGACAAGAAACATATAACGCGTGTTTCTGCAGGTGATGCATGCTTTTATTGAAATATTTTTCCTCATTAGCTCCAACAGTTCTAAAGCCCTGGGCAAACTAGGAAACATTGTTGCGGAAACATTGTTTCCTACCAATGTTTCGCCATGTTTCCCAGAGTGGGCAAACACTAGGAAACATTAGAGAAGTTAAGATACCCCGGTTTCGGTGTACGTGTACGAGTAGCATGATTTTGGTTAGCAATGTTTTCGTCGATGTACAATCGAAATACAGACATGTAAATCATGAATCATGTAAAATCGAAATACAGACATCAGTAAAACAAGATGACATTACTCGTACCCGTACACCGAAACCGGGGTATCTTAACCTCGATGTTTCCCTATGAGAAACATAGGGAAACATCAAATGTTTCTGAATTTGGTAGGAAACATTTTTGCTTCCGGGGAAGCAAATTTTGTTTCCGCAACAATGTTTCCACGGGTGGGCAAACAGGGAAACATTTGAGGAAACATCGAGAATCACAAATGTTTCCGCAACAATGTTTCCTAGTTTGCCCTGGGCTTTACGACAATCGGATCCTAGAGCTCCACTATTGGCTGTCCCTTATGGTCCAGTGTTACTATTGGAGTAGACATGCAAAGAGAATGTCCTGTTGTGTTGGTAGTTCAACCAAAAGCACTCTTCTCATTTGAGGCTGAGATGATCTTATAATCGGACAACTGCATAGTGCAGGAATTGAACCGGTGAAAGATGCATGTCCTAACCTACTCTGTACCTTTAATTTTTCCCCAGGGACCACAAAACATGAAGAAACATCGTGGAAAGCTATGGAGTCTGTTTTTAAATATTTCCACAACAAGGAAGTTGACTCTAACAAACCAAGTGATGAAACGAAGAAGAACGATGGTAAGTCCGGGGGAAAACCTTCAAAGAAGGGGAAAAAGGAGATAGAGTTGGCTGCTAATTTTCAAAATACTGACAAAATATCGAAGAAATTAAACTGTGAGGAGAGCAAGAAAAGTGATGTTGTTATTACCAGTGAAAGCTTGAAATTTGAGGGTAGCTCTGAACAAAGTAAATGTGGTGTTGAAGTTACAAGCAATGAAAGAGCAAAGAAATGTAAGAAGGAGGAAGAAGAAGGAAAATCAAGCAATCAGGAACCTGGGGATAGCTCTGATGCGTCCAACCTTGAAGTTACAAGCGATGAAAAGGCAAAGAAAATTAAGGAAGAAGAAAAGTCCAATCAGAAACCTGAGAATAGCTCTGATGCATCCAACCCTGAAGTTACAAGCGAAGAAAGAGCACAGAAAAGTAAGGAAGAAGGAAAGTTAACCAATCAGGAACCTGGGGGTAGCTCTGATGCATATAACCTTGAAGTTACAAGCAAAGAAAAGGCAAAGAAAATTAAGGAGGAAGAAAAATCGACCAATCAGAAACCTGGGGGTAGCTGTGATGCGTCCAACCTTGAAGTTAGAAGTGAAGAAAAGGCAAATAAAATTGAAGAAGCAAGCAAGCTGAAATCAGGGGAAAACTCTAAACAGGATGGAATGAATGATCATATGGAAAGTAAACAAGAACCAGCGAATAATACTGAAGATACAAGCGAGAGGCGAGCAAAGGAAATTAAAGAGCAAGAAAAATCAAACTTTAACACGTCTGTGGTTAGCTCTGAACAGGATAGAATGAATGCGGATGTTGCAGAGAATGTAGAAAGTACAGGCGAGAAGATAGTCAAAGTCAAAGTCCTGGTAAAAGATGCCAAGGACATTCATCACAGTAGAACTGATGATCAGAAGGATGATCAGCCAACAAATCCAGACAAAGTTCAGCAAATTACGAACGAGAAGGGTATGCAAAGTACAAGAAAAGAAAAACCTAACTCAGAAGCTAACAATGTTGAAGAGCTAAGCAACAAAGAAAATGATGCCTTACCTGACTCCCATTCAAGTAAACCCGAAGAAAGCGTCAAAACAGATGTCTCCCACACGTGCAAACAGCCAACCATTGGCAGCTCAAAAGACGACATTGAGAAGAAATCAAACGGCGAAGAAGGGACTGCAAACAAGAAAGACGATACCTCACCACCTCACGAAGCTGGCAGTAAAAGTGACCTGGCAACACATGATGCTGACAGGGAAAGTGAAAATCATTCCACAGACAATGATGACATACAAGTATCAGTTGTTTAGTTTGTTTAAAAAGTGTGGAAACAAACAGTGGCTAATAGTCTTTCAAACTTTTTTAATTTCATCATCTCAGGTAGAAACTTTTAATGTATCATATACAATATAGAACGTTAAAATAAATGTCACTTTCATCAAGTATATTAATTAAATAGGCAACAAACCAAGCTGTGAAAAAGAGGTGAGTTACCTTTTTTAATAGGGAAAACTTTAGAAGAATGAAACTAGTTGCAATGAAAATAGCACATTGGGTCCACATTGATCAAAGAGATACCTCAATTTAAGTTTTGTTTGCAGAAATGTAGAAGAGTAGAAGTAAATAAATTAAAGAGTATAGAGGAATAATAGAGTTCAGTTACTCCCAGTTGACGATGTTATGATCATGTATAAACTGAGTATCAGGCTCAATCCTGGCGAATGAAAACATAAGGGCCTGATACTCAGGTTAATGATCATGTTGATCTGATGTTGTACAGAACTCACTGCTGAGTCATGTTCTTTTATATGAAGTATGCCCTATGGTTACAAATTGGTCTGATGTTACATGCAAAGTTAAATTTCTCTTGTGTTCTCTCCCAGTTAACTGAGTTGTTCAATGAATAGAAAGTTCTTCTGGCATGTATGGTACTTTCTCAGCTCACAAAGACCAGTTAATGCAATCAAGTTATTTCAATATTTCTTGACTCTCAAGTAACAGGTATGCAATAGAAAAGTAGCCTATTAGGCTATTACAATATGTATCCTCCCCTGGAGGTTTGTGGAGATTCCCTTTGGGGGCTGGTAGACCTACCTTAAATTAATAGTATAGGTAACATTACAAGTTAAGGTCAAATCATTTGATATGAATTAAATGCATTATTAGTTTGAATAAACAAGGAAAAAAGTGTATTCAATTATATTTTTATTTATTCATTTTGAAAATTACATTGAAACTGTATTTTTTTAATGACAAGCAAAACGTTGAAAATGACCCATTAAAAACAGGGGCTGATTGTACAAATGCTGGACTAGATAGTGATTTTGTCAACCTTTCTAAAATTGGTCATTGGTTAGTATAACCTGTATTAAACTATAGTATTTATAAAAAAAGGTAGCACTATTCAGCCCAGCCTTCGTACAGCAAGCCCTTTTATGCAATATAATGCATCCATGTTATGGATTGTACATACACTAGTATTATAATACAATCATTTTATTCTATTTTCAAAGTATAGAACAATTGTAATTACGGCATATCCTAAAATCATCATGAGCACTTTTAACAACTTGTGACATTCTTTACTGTTCAGTTCGTGAAAGAATATCTCGAAAAACGTCACATACAGAAATGTTCCTGTTGCGATTGCTTGGAATACCGCTGAAAATATCCGACCCAAGTACGTGGAAGCGTAGGCCAACATGAGAATTCCTATACCAAACCCAACAGGACTCATCGCCGAGAATAGAAATGACGACCATGCGACCGTCATTGCTGGGAAGCTATGCTGAACGAGATTGATACCAATTGAAAATCCAAGGATACATTTATGGATAATCAGAGCACCCAATACTTGTATCATGCTATCAATATTTTGGAAAAGCCCAACCGCAAGTCCTTCGAATAGGGCGTGGACCGATAACGCAATTAGGAGAAGGTAGGACCGTAGGTAGTGACGCTGGTTGTGGTGTTTCTTGCTGATGTCTGCAAATATACTGTGTTCATGTTCATGGTCTTCGTTACTATCATTGGCTAAGTCATCTTCAACATTTTGTATATTGCGGTGCTCAGCATGGCGAACTGGATGGCCGTTGTCAAGGGCATTTGCTGGTGGGGGACAATCACCTTTTTCATCGTTATCGCTTTCCCCGCTGTCCGACGAATCGTGGCTGTCATCAGACTGCACCCCGTAGCTAGGCGAGTGTCGATGTTGCAGCAAAGGGGATGAATCCTTACGATCATGGCTGTGCCCATGATTATGTCCATGACTATGCCCATGTCCATGTAATTGTCTTTCTTTAACAACATGGACAATTTGCTCGACCAACAAAATGAAAAAAAATCCAATAGAAACCCCGAATTGTGCAATAGGGAAATTACTTATGGTAGCACTATCAAATACCGCCTTGAAATCTTTTTCAACGGCTGGTAACAATTCCAACATACTAGAAGCGAAAAACGCACCACCGGCAAAGCATGTGCCCAGGCTGATCAACTGTTTGCGTCGTAGGTCTTGACGAGCTGCGAGATTTTCGTCGCTTTGTTCCCGTTTTCGACGTAGCTTTAAAGGCAGTAATCCTGAGATGAAAGTCACGATAAATAAGGCGGTCAGCGAAATGATTTTCGCTGCTAACGCCATAATGCCCAATGTTGTCTATGTCGAAATTGACAAATACTTCGACTCGTATTTCACAGACAAATAATTAGCTCCTCAGCTGTCAATCGTGTCCGTTTTATTACGCTTGACCTCCTATTGATTTGTATCCTTAGGTCTTGTGACCAGTGAATGGTGACCGTGGCCGACTCTCAAATTACATCATAAGTCAACCAAAACGTTTTCTCTTTTCACTTTACAGTTGACAAACATTTCAAGTAAACCGTCTCTCGTATAAAAGGAAGCGAACGTTTAGTCCAATTTGGCAAATTTATTCGCATATGGTACCCACGGATCAGTGACTTTGTTACTCGTTAATAGGGGAAAAAATAGATCAAATATCAATATGGTTAAATCAATGATAATATCTACTGTATGCAAAGTGAAACAATGCATGAGCATGAAACCATGAAACTATTGAAGTGTCTTTGTGTATCGGACGGAAATGACACATTTTATGTCATAATAGAGACAAACAGGTTGTTATGAGAGAGATTCACCCCCTGAATGTCCATCATTTTTAAAGATTTTCAGGGGGGTGATTGGGTTAGAATTTAGTTTAGGATCAGGATTAAAGAGATGATCTGGATTTTAGGTTTAGGATTGGACTTAGATTAAGATTATTGATTAAGATTGATATCGGGATTTATTGCGGGACAAAATCCATTGTTCCCAATCTTTCCTCGCGTACATTTTAGCCGATGAAAACATTCTCGCGAGAAACACGCGAGACATCTGGTGAAAATAACACCATTCATCTTTCAAAACACCGTCAATGAACTGTTGTTTTGTTTAAATTTTCCCCTTAATAAACTGTTTTATTGAAAGAATTTAGCTTGAAAACACTTCTACAATGACTCGTAAGTATGCTAGTCTTGTATTTATGTATATATAGGCTTTAAATATCGGGTATCGGTGCCTCTTTAAATTAGAAATTTCGATATATATATATAACTTGGCTCCAAAATTTTAGTTTTTGATTCTATTTTGTTTTATAAATTTGAACTTTCTTTTGTGAGAAAAAGCAAGAAATACTTGAATTGTCTAAATACTGTTCACTTTTGTTAAAAGTTAAATAACATTCGTTTGTTCGTTTCATATAATGATTAGCAATTATAACAGTTTCTTAATTTATGTATTTTAGTATGTAAAAGTAGTCTAGAAGCTTTATACAGTTTACCTAATATTAAATGAATTGTTATTTAGAAATAATAATTAGCACCTGAGATATAATGCCTAGTGGTATTACCATATGAGTATTACATGTAACTATACTAATCACACTTTTAATTAACCAATTAGAATTCTTGATATTTTAATTGAGTTAGTTATTAACTGTTTATTAACTAGCCATTGAATAGTTACATTGCATATGAAAACATTATAGGAGTGACTTTTATCTTAGTTAATTACTTATTTCCAAATCAGATTCATAAAAAAATAAAATATGGTTTTTCAGGTATTTTATAAATTGACATGTGCCTTTTATAAATTGACATGTTAATTATTAAAAGTATATATTTCCCAGACAATAATAATTGGGTTTCACTAATCACCATTGTGCAACAGATTATGGTCGACCTGCAGTTATCAGAGATGCAAATTCTATTAATTACATGTAGCAATCTGGAACATTTCTGAAGTTGAACATCTGTTGCCCAGTAACTATTAGTGACACTCACCAGTATACTTGAAATGAGTGTCTGAAAGGTTTGCATTGTTTCTAGACACAAGCTTCACTGTAGCATTTTCCAATAAACTGCCATGCCCATGGTTTGTTGGGCTTGAAATTTTCAGCACTATCCGGTGGGTTACTAGAAACTTTAAATCTGATATCCACCACAGAAATCTAGTGTCTCGCATGTGGATAGTAATATTCAAACATTAAAACAATGTAAAATGAGTTTTCAGTTGTGATGAATTACATAATGAACCTAAGATATGTTTATACAACAGAAAAGTATGTGTACATGTATCTGTGGAGGAAATTTGTTTAGTATCCCAATCGATACTGAGCTTGTGATGTCCAGTATACAATTTTAAAATCTGGTATCAAGTGGATATTGGGATGCTGCAAATTTCAAGCCTTGGTTTGTGTGTAAAATACAGATCTTTGTTGGGGGTTGGGAGAATAGCAAAAAAACAGAGAGTCTTACAGCGAAACCAGGAGAGTTGACAGGTTTGGAACTATCTGAAAAAGACTGAAAACACTTTGACTTTGAAAGCAAGGCTTTTTACCTTCATGTTGTTTTTGTTGTGATCAGGTGGTAATCAGAGAGAATTGGCCAGAGCTAAAAATCTGAAGAAACAACAAGCCACAGGAAAAAGTAAGAGCGGTGATGACAAAGACGGAAACAAAGGGGCTAACCTCCTTAAACGACAAGAAAGGTGTGAACATGTGATGTCTTATTTAATATTTGCCTTCTATACCATATTTTTACATAATTGAACACAGTTTATGGCAAGGAATATTTGCAAAAAAACATAAACCAATTACTGCGAGGCCTATTCAGGGCTTTCAAAATAACCCGGCGCTGCTGGAGCTCCAGCGGCTAGCAAAGATTTACCGCCGGTTACTTTGTTTAGCACTTGAAATATCAATTCTGCTCTCCTTCCTCCATTCTAGGCTTTCAAACAAAGTTATTTTTCCTGAACTTGGTCTATACTTTATAGCCTGGTCATTTTCGAAAACAACATACTATTTTGTAAAACACATTAAGTTAAAGATTGAGAGATGTACAACTACCTGAAACATATAAGCAGATCTTCAACATTTTGAGTGAATGCCCTTCGTCAGGAAGTTAGTGTGGCATTCTATTCGCTCGAAACATCGAAGTTTTGGTTATCTTTTTTAGGTAGTTGTTACAGCATCTCACTCAATCTCCAGCTGACTTGTTATCACTGCTATTACACTTGTTATTACCGTTAAGATACAACTACATATACCATGATAAACACAACTAAAACCAGTACAGTTTACGATCATCAAGAATGGTTATTTGTTTAAATAAGGCTGTCTTGACTTAGGGCTCCTTTCATGGACAAATACTGTAGAGTCAGCTACATTTATAAACTCTCAACCGCAAAAAAGTGAAGTCACTGCAAACCACTTATCAACACACCCTTTCAGTTGACCATTGGTTGTCATGAATAAATGTTTGTAAATACTTGTGCTGTCTAAAAACTTCAAGAGCTCTTGAACTTGTGCATTTCTACCAATCGGACAACGAATAAGAACTGAGTTGGATCTGCCTTGCTCATTGATTTGTTGAAGTACTGTTCGGATAAGAACTTTTCCCACATCAATATCTTCACAAAACAATGGCCCAATCTTATAGCCTTCGTCCGGAACCATTGATTCCCGGGCAACAACATAACCAACAACAGACCCTTTGTTATTTAAGGCAACAAAAGAGCGACTTGCCGGCGAATACAACCATTTGTATAAAAACTATTTGCGATCATATCCAAACGTAAGCTTATCGTAGTTAAACAAAGCTTCAAAATCTACATCGGAAACCTGCTTGATGTGGTATGTTGCATCCGTGGAGATCCCTTGAAGTTTTTTTAAGGCTGTTGCTGAATTCATATCATGTGTTTCAACTGAATAGAGAATCTCACCACTGCCAAAATATTTTTTGTACATTTCAAACACTTCTAATGAAGACACATAAGCAGATATAATTGTCATTGGTTTGCATTCTTTAACAACATGATTAAACAATTGTAACCCGTATCCGCACTTTCGGTAGTCCTTCTCAGTGTGGTATCCCCCACCATGCCGATAACCATCATCGTATTTGAATACACCAGCTGTTCCAATTGGCTGACCATCCAACTCCCCTACATACAACCCTGTGGGGTCGCATGCAAGAAAGCAGTCTATGTCGTCAATTGCAGGTCGATCTTTTACCATAACCCTTGTCCGTAGAAAATATTTCTTTAAATATGTTGATGTGTCTGTTATCATTTTAATGCGAAACATCTTTATATAATTTGATGTTTATATCATGAAAACTATTGCAGATATTACAAAGATTCCTTATTCAAATTTCACAGAATGTTTCCACTTGTATAATTCTCACACTTCCACAGTACTTCCACTATGAAATATTTCTGGAGGAGGTGGTATTTGAGAGAAGAACTTAAGGACTATTGGGAGGGCTTATTAGAGAGAGGGTTATTATTAGAGAGGGGGTTATTTTCTTTTTTTTGGGGGGGATGTGGGCTTATTAGAGAAGAGGCTTATTAGAGAGGGGGTATTTCAGAGGGGGGGGGGGCTTATTAGAGGAGACTTGTTAGAGAGGGCTTATTAGAGAGGGAAGCTTATTCAAGAGGGGGTTATTTGAAAGCGGGATTGGAGAGGTAGCCTTATGAGAGTGAAATAATTTATGAGCTTGCAGTATGTTGTACCACAGCTACATCCTTCCATATTTCTTTTCAGAGATGCAGAAGTGATGAGATTAAAACAACAAAAAGCCGCAGAAAAGAAAGCCTCTGCAGAAGGCGGTGCTGGAACGTCGAAGAAATAAGAAAGAAATCAAAACAGGTCACTTTATATATTGCATGTTTCTTTTAGCTTTTACACACTACAAACTATATTAGTTCTATGTTATGTGCTCTGATCTGTTATAGATGACAAACAATTTCTTGTTGTGTTTTGCTTTTTAAATTTCTAATTCAAAGTTTGGTTCAAATTCAAGACTGCATTTCAAAGAGACTGCATTTTTGATATTGTGTCTAATGAGTCATTCCAGAAAAGATTTGCACTCTCCCACAGAGGAAATTTCTGCTGTTCCGAGGGGGGATGGATGACAAATTTGTTTCTGATAATAGTAAGTGTATTAGGATGACCAAAGGTGGTAGGGGGGTTAACTTCCAATATCTAACTTGGGGGAGGTATGGTTATTTTCTGGTATGACTCAATGCTGAGTTAATATCTGTATCATACTGACTTCCAAACTTTGTATTAGAAATTTAAACTAAATGAATACAAATAATTATAGATATTGTATATTCTACAAAGTACCTAAATATGTACATTCATTAAGATTAATTTTTCAAAACCTTATTATTATATTACTGGGGCACATTTACGGGAATTATATGAACCTACAGTATATGCAATAAATGTGACTCTAAATTATGTTGTTTTTAAAATCAATATTAAAAATCAATATTAATTGATAAATATAAATAATCATAATTTTATATTGTTTTTTGTTGTGTGTACATAAAACGTTTGGGGTAGATATTTCTTAACTTTGCCCATATTTAGAATTATTAATTTTGAATAAGCTAAATGTTTGTATATTAACTGTCAGGCGAGAGATCGAATATAGTTTTAAATTAAGTGAAGAATTTGTACTGTAGACAAGAGAAATGTTGAAAATGTAAGTACAGTTATTCTTGTTTTATATAGCTATTTATTAATGTTTCCTATAATTCTGGACCAGTAAGGGATTTCTTTTACTGGACCTCTAGGCAGAACTGTTTAGAATTGATAGAGCTATCCAGTATAAATAGAGTTAGTTTAGTTCAGGTTCCTCCTGTAGTAACACTGGATCAAAATGAGATTATTCTTTCTGGACCTCTAGGCAGAACAGTTACTGTAGAACTGCTAGAGCTATCTAGTATTCTCAGTGCATAAATGGACCAATATTCATGTTAATAGCGGCCCTTACTGTGGATGTCTCTAAGAACGGTTTAGAATTATTATACCCAGTTAATAAAGTTATCCAGTATAAAACGTTTAGTCAAGTAAACAGAACGAGCTTTTGATATGAAATATACCTGCAACTTATATTGCAATTACAGTACGTGACACACTGCCCACACAATAATCAAGTATTTCGCGTTAATTTGAAGATATCTGGCTTTGTCTAAGTGCAATTGTATCCACGCACAATATCCTATCAACTTATCTCACCGTTTTATCTCCAGTAAAATATAGCTACAAGAGCGAAAGAAACAAATTAATCTTGAGTTGAGCTTAATTGCCTAGAGCTGTAAGCCCTTAATTTACGTCTATACATTGTCATTGAGCTTGAAATAACTGTTGTTAGAAACATTTAGACCTGGTTGAACGAGAGTTTCCTTGGCGATTTTATAGAGAGTTTTGCTGAAAAGGTCCGGATTTTTCTACTAAACTATAAACATTACTGTGAAAACTAAATGTATGCTAGATATATAGCTCTGTCAGTTCTAAAGTGTTCTTCCTAGAGGTCCAGTAAGGATCATCTCTTATTGATCCAGTGTTACTACAGGAAGAAACCTTAAAGTAAACTGACTTTATTTAAACTGTTCTTCCTAGAGGTCCAGTAAGAATCATTTCTTATTGATCCAGTGTTACTACAGGAAGCAACCTAAAGACAAAGTATAAACTAACTTTACTGTATTTACACTGGATAAAAAAATTAGAAGAAAGAAAATGTTTACAATTTTCAGATTGTCTATTGTTTGTGTTTTGTTATTATACTGGATAGCTCTATCAGTTCTAAACTCTTCTTCCTAGAAGTCGTCCAGTAAGGATCATCTCTTATTGATCCAGTGTTACTACAGGAGGAAACTTAAACTAACTTTATTTAGTAGAATCATACTAGTATATATACTATTGCAAATGCTGTAATTTGATTGGTTACTCTATTCGCTATCTATTCCTCGATGGGTAGCGAGTAGCAAAACAATCGTTTTCCTGGCGAATTTTTTTTGTGACTGAGGCAAAATTATAATCAGAGAACTGTCACAATATCACATCGTAGTGCATATGAAAACTTTATCAAAACTTTTATTTGTTCAGATTATAGCGAGTGTCTACGACAATTAAAGGACGTGTATTTCAAGACCGCTAAATATACGCCGAGTACAACTGTGTGGGATTTTCAAGATCTTCGGAGGAAGTAAAGGTATGTGTTGTAGTACATTTGTGTAGATAGGGCAAGAAGAAGATTTTCAAGATGGCGGCGATTTTTTAAGATCGTTAAGGCCCGTTTCAGACGTCGTTCATTTGCCGAATGCATTAAAGACAATAAATAATGAGATAGTTCAGATGATTATCTATTGTGTTTAATGCTTTCGGCCACATGAAAAGATCGACGTCTGAAACGGGCCTAATGGCCGTTTTCCACTAGGCAGAATTTTCCGCGCGGAGCGGAATTTTTCTTTATCTTGTGATTTCTCGGGTGGAACTAATTAGAAAAGACAGAGAGAAATTCTGCTCCGCGCGGAAAATTCCGCCTGGTGGAAAACTGCCTTAAAACGCGAAAGAATCAACAACCGTACACTTTAACAACCTTACCCTAATCCTTAACCTTGAAAACTAAAGAAAATTCTGAGTTTAATTTTTGAACTATTTCGAAAACCTCCCTCTCGCCCTTTTAGTCCTTGGCCATTACCGTTCGATACGGTGTAAGTATATAAAACAAGCTTGTGATGTATTACTTTGTCTTGTGAACTGAGATCCAAAAAAAATGCTATATACGGTACGTTACGAGACGGTTGAAAGTAATAACTACCTCGTATATCTTTTAAAGCTGGTTGCTATTAAAGTTTCTGTGATCACAGTAGGAATTTTGCATAGGTAAATTCTAAGTTTTGAAGGATTTGTTAATCCTCATTGTTAATCCTTCAAAACTTAGAATTTACCCATGCAAAATTCCTACTGTGATCACAGAAACTTTCAGTGTAAGCCAGCCAGCCTTTAACATAAAATATGGTGAGGCTTAAGTTTTGACCAAAACTAATCATTAAGACTATAGTATACGAACGAATTCGGAACTCAAATTTATCCTTGTTCTTTTGTCCAAACGGCAATTCGTATAACGGTTTGCTGTCTTCGAATTTGACCGTCCCGTGTAAATACGGAACAGCAAAAGCGAGTGCACGGTTGAGCATCCGGTCCGCTCCAAAACACTGAATACTAAATGAGTATAAAACGAGCTCAAATCGTTGCATCTCATTTTGAATGCAATGTAATAATCTCGTAACCGCAACTCACAAGGCTAAAAGCATAATATTATCGAAGTAAACGCGCCTCTTGTATAGTCGATTTAATAATACTGCTTTTTAGCCATGCCAATTATACTGCTATTTATTATTTTTAATCTTTTCCAGCAGATGTTTTTCCATATTTTGGCCAAAACGGAAGTTGCTCTATACTTATTTACATGAACCGTAACGAAAATGTATGGGATTTTTTGCACAGCAAACGTATACAGTAACTTTAAGTTGGAAATGCGATTTGATATGGTCTCTAAAACACTATGTCTTCAGCCATTCTCAAAAGGAATTTGAATTTTTTGTTGCTGTTTATACGGAACGATTAAATATCATTTCAGCTGCAAAGTGAGAACATCCATATTTACGGTAACTAAGGCTCGATCCAGAACAAAATGCCAGTCACTTTTCGCCTCTCGGACTTACATTTGAACTATCTCGCAAGTCGCGCTCGTGAGGAGCCGAAATTATCTGGAGAACTGTTTATAAAGGATACGGAACACGGCACACCTAAATGGCAAAAGCGCTGGACTGTTTTATACCAGAATTTTTTATTTTATTTCGAGAATTCATCTTGTGCCAAACCGGTCGGCATGATTTTTTTGGAACACTCCACGACTGATGTGGTATCTTTGACGAAATTGCGAGATTTATCTCATCAGGTAAATACAGCAAAGAAGTTCGTTCACAAGGGATGAACTTTGAATCAGTTTGTCGTTCTTTTTCACACGTATTATGAAATCGATAGAATTCAAGTCCAGCCAACCCGATGAATTCCCTTGTGCCTGACGAATGGAGCCGAATTTGCGTGTGGTTCCGATGCGGTCTCGTACGTTAGTCGTCGTAGTTGTGTTTATGTATATATATTTTGTCTTTTTAGTTTCCTGTTGTCGTGCTATATTTACGAATAAATTTATGATTGCAAGCTGTATTTTAGCCGCGCTTAAAAGCCTTAATTTCGAGAAATAAATTTTGAAATTAGGAGTTATGTTTTACGATAACGGTGAAAAGTGTTACATTTTTTTACGGTAATATAATAATATTCAGTTATATGTTTTATTCGATATATATAGATTGGAAAACCTTTCTAATTATGCATCGTTTGTCTAGTTTAAATAAGTACACAAGCGCCGTAGATAAGCCGCGTATTAAAATCAAACCATGATCCATGCTTTTATTTCAAGCGGTTTTTAAGTTTCGTAAATTGCCGGCTATCACAGTATCGGCGAATTTTTTTGGGGGAGATTCGAATCTGAGATATTTTTGTAATATGTGGAGGCGTATGAGGGTTTTCACTATTTTTAGTCGACCTTTATGACTTTTGCCCCGTAGCCAAGTGCAAGCGAAATGAGCAAAATTATATTATGTCCCTACATACAGTATTATTATAGTTTCGTTTTCCATTTTGTTTTCGCGAGATCGGACTGATATGTGGAAACGTTTGTGTATACAGAAGGCGAAATCGTTCATATTTGAATACTGTAGTCTGGACCGAATTGGCCGTAATTTTATATTTTGATAACTCCTGTTCTGTAGGCTATTAAAAGCCTCTTGAATCAAACCTCCTACGACCTGTTAGAAGCCAGCTGCATCACCCAGTCCTATGGTGAAAGCAACGCTTTTGTCATTCAATAAAATATCTATAATTGTATATTAAAGCTTTTAAGCTCAATTTTCCCCGATATGGCACTGCATATTAGCCTGTTCCATTTGCATGCATAATGCGAAGAGCAGCTCATGGAGGGATGCCGTCCCTGGAATATTTAGACTCCTAAACGAATACTCAAAATATTGTAGTATAGATCGATCGCGCTGTGCCAGTGATTCGTTCGTGTTGAATTTACACAAAAAAAGGTGAATCATATCACGGATGATACGTTTTGCCGGATTAAGTGTCTCTAGTTGAAAAGCGCCAACATTAAGGCAATAAAAGTGCTTCCATGTTTTAAATTTTGTGTTCGCTTTTCCTAGCATACGTTTTACATTGCAATTCCGGAGGATAGTGAGCAACAGAAGTATTATCTTCGAGCGAATTCTGAAGATGAGTGTAACACGTGGGTGAAGACTTTGCGAGGTAGCAGGTAATAAAGTGAAATAATCTTTTCGTAGAATTGATTGAAGGAACGAAGATGAGGGAGGGAGGGAGGGAGGAAGAAGGGAGGGAAAGAAGGAGGATAGGAGGGAGGAAGAAAGGTGGGAGGCGAGAGGGAAGGAAGGAGGAAGGGAGGGAGAGGGGGAGGACGGAGGAAGAAAGGTGGGAGGCGAGAGAGAGAGAAGGAGGAAGGGAGGGAGAGGGGAAGGACGGAGGAAGAAAGGTGGGAGGCGAGAGGGAGAGAAGGAGGAAGGGAGGGAAAGGGGGAGGAGGCAGGAGCGAAAGAGGAAGGGAGGGAGAGGGGAAGGAGGCGGGAGAGACAGAGGAAGGGAGGGAGAGGGGAAGGAGGCGGGAGAGAAGGCAGAAAGGAAGTTGGAGGAATGGAGGAAGGAAGGAGGGAGATGGAAGAAAGAGGGAGGAACGAAGGGAGGGTGGGTGTAAGGAAGAAGGGAGGGAAAGAGAGAGGAAAGGAGGGAGGAAGAAAGGTGGGAGGCGAAAGGGAGAGAACGAGGAAGGGAGGGAGAGGGGAAGGAGGCGGAAGAGAAGGAGGCAGGAAGGAAGATGAAGAAAGAGAGGGAGGAAGGAAGGGGGGAGGGAAGGAGAAAAAGGAGTAAGAAAAGAATACGAGTAAGGGAGGAAACATTGATGAAGAAGGGAACAAGGTATGGGAGAAAGACGAAACATTGTAGGAAGAGTGAATCGTGGCAAAGAGAAGAGATAAATGAAATAAATGGTTTTCCTTTCATCTCGTAGTTACTTTTCACTCGAGTTGGAAAACAAGGAACTGGAGGCGAAATATCATCTCTCCACTCAAATCCTTCAAGCAGAGCAAGCTGCTAAAGAACAGTTGATGAATCAATGTGTGGAATATGATCAACGCATTCAGTCTCTGGAGAATGAGGTTAATCCCCCATGATGCTTACCAAATAAATATTCTTTCATATTTCTCCTAACCTGAATTATTACTCTATCACATATCAAAATCGTTTTAGAGTTGAAATTATCAATTTCCGACATGAAAATAACTTCTTAAGGGCAACCAAATTAAGGGCCTAAAGGATGTATTAATTCGGCAGCTGTTTATGATTAAGCTCTGGAGTTTCTGTATTTTTAACTGTGCCTAAAATAGTCTGTATCTGTAATTGTTTTCACCAGTTGGCGAGCTTGAACCGTCAAGATCAAAGCAAGCAAGAAGAGAGTCAGGAAGACGATGAGATGGAAAGTGATGATATTAAAAAAATAAAAAAGGTTTGAGAAATAGTCTTTCTAACAATCATGGCCAACAGGAACTGCCTAAACTGTTGTGGTTTCCTGGCCATCACGCTTGCCTTTCAAACTTTCAAGCTGGGAGACTCAGGTTCAATCCGCTACCTTTACGTTGACATCAGTAAATGATTAGACTTTCGCGTCCTCTCGGCAAGGCATGAGAAAGTCCGCCAGCATCATGCTGCCAGGAAATTTTTTTAGTCTCACAGGAAATTTTTAAGGAAAAGCAAGATATCAAGAATGAAGCTCGAGGAGAAATTTCAAAAATCAGCATTAAAGTAACAAACATCACAATTAGAGCATAAATACAACAATCATAACATAAAAATTTGTATCATGTGGCTATCTATCAATTGGGCATAGCCTGTTGGTAAATCCGCTCCCCAATGAGTGAGAAGCTCAATAAACTGTCTCATCAACTCTTAACGAGATAATTGTATGTAGGTGCAAAGCTTGGTACGAGCCTGGTTATGCAGACGTCGTTGGCATTCCGTGGTTCAAGGCTACATCGAGTCAGGGCATGCCTCCAGTATCCGACAGAGAAACCAAGTTATCTTTCATTTCGTCCGCGAGGAGGAAGAATATGTGAATGATTTATCAACTTTGGTCACTTCGTTTCTACGTCCTTTCCGAATGGCTGCAAGTGCTAAGAAACCACCCACTTCACACGAAGAGGTTAATTCCATCTTTTTAAACTGGTAAGGAAATTATGTCTGTGATGTTACTTTGAGCGTGCATCCCCACCGGGCAAGCTGAAAAGTTGACTAGTACACCAAAGGTCGCGGGTTCGATTCCCACCGTGGTCAAGCAAACTTTTCAGCTTGCCCAGTGTGGATGCACACGCAGAGTAACATTACAAACATCATATTCACCTGAGTACATAACACCAATACACACAGAAATCATGGCAAGGAAATGTAAGATTATATATATCATAAACATGAAGCACTGATTTGAAGCACCAAAAACTCTGTCGGGAAACGCATCGCTAGCCAAGTTTTTAACATACTTTGAGGCGTTTTTAAATCGCTAAAATAAAATAGATATAACTTCTCAAACAAATCGGTATGTAAAGGAAACTCAAAGTGAAAGTTAACGTTTGTTTCCGTGGCATCAAGTCGACGATACGGTGTTGTGTTTTTTGCTCATCGATGTGTAATACTTTAAGAAACGTTTATGAAAACAATGAGGACGTTAAACTAATGATGTTATTTCGTTTTAGTGAAATCATATTATTTCTTCATCAAATATTTTTGAAAGGACTTCACACAAGAATGGAGGATTGGCCCACACTAATTCTGGGTAAATAAATCTTTCTTCAAACATAACTAACATTGTGAAGTAAAGTTTGTTTCTCAAGCTTTGTATTCAGACAATATCTGAGATACGTTCCCTGTTTGTGTTTGGTGTTGGTATTGGTATTGTACTAGACTTAGTATATGAACACGTGTCTGTTGAGATAGTCTGATTAACACATTGAGCTCCCTTCCCTTGACGAGTATGAACGGGTACTTTGATTCCGCAGTGTACATGTAGAAAGAATCGATTTAATGTTGACACTGCTAAGTTTTATATCTTTTTCATCTCAGGTGATCTTTTTCGTATTCTACTTCCAATGTATGGGATTTACCAAGAGTACGTTCGAAATCATCACTATAGTCTGCAGGTAAAGTGCTCTGGACGTTCTGTATTCATAATTTTGCTCGAGAAACCATATTCACTGGGGGCTTCGGTGACGTCATCGTCATAGCAAGCACCATTCACCTCTGAGATTGTGGGCCCGATCCTCACATCGGACTGTTGACACTTATGTGAAAAGAGTTAGTCAACAGTCTATCGAAAGTCGTGGGTTTTTCCGGGTACTTCAGTTCCTCCCACAGCGAATGTTGACAGGGTGGGTTGGGATTAGCCCCCCCCCCCCCTAACTGACCCTTCCACCTTAGCTGTGTTTCGTCATCAGACACGAGTCATGAGTCACTCCTTAAGCCATGAGTACGTCATGAGTCACTCCTTAAGAAAGCTTTCGACTCGATCAGGTTGAGCTACTTCCTTCGCAATTCGTCTTAGCTCTCAGCTGCAAGTAAGGATGATTAGCACACCCCCACTCACCAAAGTACGTCATAAAGTCTGATGCATTGCAATGGGTTGGTCTGTTCTTTTACAGATGCTTGCCGAATGCAAAAAACACTCGCCAAGTTTCAACCGTCTTTTGATAATCCACGAAGAAAAGCCTGTGTGTGCCAACAGAAGCTTGGAGACGTTTTTAACACTACCTATGCACAGAGTACCGGGTTATATCATCACACTTCACAGACTGTTGGCATTCACCCCTCCTGATCACGTAGATAGAAAATCTTTGGAGCATGCGCGAGGCGTGCTGGAAGAATTATCCTCGGTGGGTCACTGCTGATGAATTTATTAATTCATTGAATGTTGATGATCCTTACTGGACCTTTAGGAAGAACAGTTTAGAACTGATAGAACTATCCAGTATAAATAAAGTTAGTTTAGTTTAGGTTTCTTCCTGTAGTAACACTGGATCAAAAAGAGATGATCCTTACTAGACCTCTAGGGAGAACAGTTTAGAACTGATAGAACTATCCAGTATAAATAAAGTTACTTTAGTTTAGGTTTCCTCCAGTTGTAACACTGGATCAATAAGAGATAACTCTTACTGGACCTCTAGGAAGAACAGTTTAGAAATGATAGAGCTGCCCAGTATAAATAAAGTTAGTTTAGTTTACGTTTCCTTCTGTAGTAACACTGGATTAATAAGAGATGATCCTTATTGAACCTCTAGGAAGAACAGTTTAGAACTGATAGAGCTATCCAGTATAAATAAAGTTAGTTTAGTTTAGGTTTCCTTCTGTAGTAACATTGGATCAATAAGAGATGATCCTTACTGGACCTCTAGGAAGAACTGTTTAGAACTGATAAGAAATTGTCCAGTATAAAGGAAGTTAGTTTAGGCTCCTTCAGTATAGTAGTACAAGTACCGGACTTTTAGGAAGAGCAATTAAGAACAGCCATACAGTATAAATAAAAAGTTAGACGAAGTTTAGTTTGAATGAACTGACATGACTTGTAATTCAAACTATAGTTGATGCATGATGAAGTGAGTGAAACGGAGAATATCCGGAAGAATTTATCCATTGAAAGACAGATCGCGGGTGGTTGTGAAGAATTGCTAGATGTCAGACAAGTCTTTATACGTCAAGGTTTGTGTTTAAATTTTGTGTCAATCAAGGCCGTCGAGAGGTTGCGCGGGGCCCGGGGGAAAACCTTCCCACGGAGTCCTATGACGTCATATGATCAAGTACTAACGTAGCTACAAGATCGCTTAACTGAGAATATAAATCCTATCAAGACATTTTAAGCGCTTTCGTTGCTTTGTGGATATGAATACGATAATACGAATTAATATTCCTTATACTACTCGCAAGGCAACGTTTTTGCTTTTTATACAAGTTGCACTGAGCAAACGTTGTCTCGTATAATGTCGTGTTAACTTATTGCATCGAATCGTATACAAGTAGCCTGCGTAGCCGGCGGTTTTAAGGGTTGGGGTTGAGGCGCGGGCAACGAAAATTAGGGAGGCGAGGCGCGGCATTTTCCCCTTCCCCCGCCTTCCTAATTTCCGTTGCCCGCGCCTCAACCCCAACCCTTAAAACCGCCGGCTATACGCAGGCTATATACAAGCGATTTCCTTTTTTCTTGCAACGTTTTAAAACTTACATTGAAAATACTATAATTAAAAGTATAATTTAAAATTAAATGATTAAGTCACAGAACAGTTATCCTTGGGAGTTGATAGTTGAATGTTGGGACGCCCAGCAGAGAGTATAATTATGTAACGACAAAACTTGGTTAGCGGGAATATTTCTCCAACTGGGCATCACGTGTTGACACTGCATGTGCAATGTGTACACAACGCTGGGATTCTTTGCTATTGCATTTCTAAGCGTATTTTGCATCAGATAAACACTTGTTCTAGTTCTAGCAAATACTTTCCTCACCTTGACCTGTCATGTGCTCAAATCCTCGTGATTTAGTCATGATTAAAAGCTTGATACAGCAAACAGTCAACAAACAAAGCACTTGTAAGTTGGCAATCTAAAATGCTAAACACACTTTCATATTGCGTGGGCTGAATTCGCAATTTATAACTCTATTTTTGCATTAATTCCGGCTATTCCCCCGCAATATTCTAAAACATATAACATAATTTTGTACAGCCTTATAAACCTATAAACTTGTTGACTGAAAAGCAATGAAAAATATCATTAATATTTCATGATAAACCTATCTTTAATAATGACAACATATATTCATTTACTTAAATTACCGTGTTTCCCTTTGTCCAGCTTTGACAAAAAGCAACTAAAACCCAATAGAATATCTATTGTCTAAGCATATAGGCGTGCTAGCAGTCTAGCACACAATAATTTAAAGATTAGGGCAGTATTAAAATAATTTAAACTTGTACATATGAAAAGCAAACCCAGCTTAACTCACAGGGCTGAGATTTACTTCATGAATACTTCAACGAGGCTCATTTTATCACTTCGCCCCATCGCTTCGTATCGGCGTTTGTGGCTAGGCCTCATCTGGCTTGATTAATTTTAAATGAGCTGCTAAATCGCGCTGACTCCGAGGTGAAAACGACTTTCTAACACATTATTCATATATCTACGTAAACTACAAGATATTATGCGGATAAATAACACTCGTATAACGACCGTTTTGTGGGGGAAAAGTTTTTATACTGTATTGTAGTGAGGTAGGGTAAAATAACTTTATTTTAGGTTGTTTTTTTACACGATTTAGCTTATTAAATTTTGCAGGATCAATTGATAAGCGTTAAATTGTGTATTGACGCTTTTGAAACTGAGCAGGCATGATTGCACGGATCACGCTGTTTGTATTTTTTACTTGATTTATGTATACGTCCAGCAATGTTTTCACTTTTTAATATAATAAAGTTGGCTGACATCTAAATCAGTGGCAAATGAGGAAATTTTCACAATTTTTTTTCCGCCTGTTTTCCATAGTTCAACCGTATTGTATACCCAAAGGTAGCGTATTTCTTCGTTTCCTGAACACTAGCTATAGGATGGAGTTACATAGCGACTTTGGCACACAGGTATAGGTTACAGTACGTTTGAAGTGGAAAACAGGTTATACTTGTATGTAGGACTGAAAGCAGATGATTGTGATTTAAACATTTCCTGTGGCAAAGCTAATGGATATGCGTTGAAACAATAGGGCCATTTATACGAGACAAAATAAGACGCGACTTACATAAGACGCGACTTAAATAAGTGGAGTTATCGCATAAATGGTTCTCTACGGCTTTATAAGAATTTACTTGCGATAGCTATAATGTTGTTTCGGTTGTTTTTGTTTTAATATGCAAGGCTAATAATTTTACGTTGTTTCATGTTTCGGGCATGTGTAGTTAGAATTTTTGTCTAAAATATCTTAGTTAAGACGCGACTTAAATAAGAACAGCTAAAAGTCCTGTTCTTATGTAAGACGCGTCTTATCCAAGACGCGTCTTACATAAGAATTTTGTGCCTTTTATACGACAAACTCACGTCTTATTTAAGTCGCGTCTTATGTAAGTCGCGTCTTATTTTGTCTCGTATAAATGGCCCTAATGAGTTTAGCTCACTTGCATTACGTTCACCAGATGATGGGCGCAATGTTTAAACGTATATACACACACGTGTAAAAACGCGCACGTTGTTATAGATCTGCAAACAAGTTGTCAACAAGGTTGTTGTCAAGCCGATATCAGGATGTGTTCGCACTGCTTGTTCCCAGTTGCTGGGACAAGTCTGAAACAAATTATTATCGTGATATAACGGTAACAGACTTTTGTTGCAAATTGTTCCAACAAGACTATCATATACAAGCTGTACGCAACAAATTGCTACGAGCTTGTTGTCATCAACTCGTTACGTGCGGACGATTGTTAGACCGATCTTGGAACAATTTGTTGCGAGTCTGTTGGCCTCATCAACCTTGTTATAAGATGATAACGACTTCTTCCAGACTTGTCATCAACAACTGGGAACAAGCAGTGCGAACACATCTCAAGCTTACGCGTGTAGCCTTATAGCAAGGAAATTTGCACACTGAAGGAGCTTTTTGAGCGATTTGTATTCCGATTTTACTCGCGATTTACATCGATGCAACGGCGGACGATAGCTCGTATGTCGTTTTAGGGGTGCATAATGCATGATGGGACTCCCTAAAGCGTTTGGTTTTTAGGACTAGGTACGAATTTCATGACTACAATTTTGTTATCCCTGAACCAAACAGCAATTTTTGGAAAAAAGTCGAATATAACGGAGTGTGCAATTCAACACCAATTGCAATCAGGAATTCATTTCACTGAAAAAAATAATATGTTATTATATATAGGCTTTAATTTTGATTTTCTTGTAAATATTGTAAATAATTCAAAACCTTACGGCGCCCGGGAAGATTGTCTAATTTGGATGACAGGCGTACGTGCTTCATTATAAAGTTCCCTCATGTCCGTTTGACATGTTTGATGTACTGTTTAATAAACGAGCAGGGGTGTTTTAATAAAACACGGATTGCGAGTTTATTAAACGCGACTTCATTAGTATTCTTTATATAAAGAATATTGAGCAGGAGGTTTTATATAAATAATACTGATGAATGAAGAGTGTTTTATGAGTCATAAAGTGATGAAGTGATTTAACGGGCTAAAAAGCTGATGAATTGTTAACGAGTGTTTGAAAACGTTATATATTGCGAATTCTCACCATTGAGGTATTATGATCATCTCATTTGAATACACAACAAGTTATTGTGCTCGGCTAAGGTAAAAACACGAGCTAGTGTGAACAAATGACTTCATTTTATGTTTTTGTAACGAATCTGAAAAATTCAATCCAAGTGGAGATCGATGGAGTGATTGCTGAGGGAAAAAAATCACAACCTTGTCTCAAATATTCATCTTTTTGCAGTCCTGTTTTGTATATTTATTCAACAATGTCGCCTCCTTGAAAACTCATTCAAACAATCAAGACAGCTGTCTTGATTGTTTGAAGTTGCATGCATGTGATCCCCATTTATCACCACTCCAGAAGGTTTATGGTGAAACCTCCAATAATTACTATAGCTTGTCGCAAGCCGGTATGTTTCCGTGTATTCCAAATGCACTTCAGTATTAAATTAGGCAGCAATCTTTATAGGAAGTGCATGCAACTGCTTGAAAAATATAAACAAAACTTCGAGTATAAACGTCCTCATGAAATTTGATCCAATGGGGCACTTGTCTGAAACGTATGATAAAAGACAGAGGTCTCTGTAGAATTAGCACTTGGAGGCTCGCTGTGGTAAAAATCTGACCATATCCATTTTTTAGGAAGTTTGATTCAAGTCCAGGAAAGCCACAAGAAACCGATATTGTCATTTGCTGGGCTAGGGATTAAGCCTCACGAGAGAAAAGAATACCTTCGACACTGCTTATTGTTTTCTGGTTTGTTGTTAATTGCGACAAGATCGTCCAATGGGAAACTACATCTACACAAGGTGAGGAGTTATCTGTATGGCTGTTAATATATTATTAAGGTTGTATCTTGATGTATAGCATGGGATAACCCTTACTGGATCTTTAGGAAGAACTGATAGAGCTATATCCAGTATAAATAAAGTTTGTTTAGTTTAGGTTTCCTCCTGTAGTAACACTGGATCAATAAGAGATAACCCTTATTGGATCTCTATAGGGAGAACAATTTAGAACTGATAGAGCTATCCAGTATAAATAAAGTTAGCTTAGTGTAGGTTTCCTCCTAATGTTATGACCCCTAGTCCCTTACTGGATCGGGGTAGAAAGCAGAGGTTGTTTGAAATCGATTAGCACTATAAACCTCTTAACCCCGGGTTAACTTTAATCGGTTTTTAAACAACCGTGTGCGGTCTGGACTTTTTGAAACGTCTTGAGTGTCTATTGTTTTGTGTTTTATTAAAATACTCTATGGCAACCGCAATTTTTCTTTCATTTCCTCCTGTAGTAACACCGAAGCAATACTGAACCTTTAGAAAGGACTGCTTAGAATACAGCATTCTAAAATAAAGATAGTCTTAACAAAAAATGTATTTCTTTTAGTCTACTGGAAAGCTTAATCTTGCAGACGTTTCAGTAATAGAAAATCTCTACGAAGAAGGTATAGTAAAGTATTTTTTTAAAGCAATTTGCTCGTTTCACTCGAAACTATACAACTCTGGAACTATATATATATATAGGAAATATAGTCTGAGAAGAAATTTTTTTGAGCAGAAAAATATTTGGATTCTATAAAATATATATATATATATATATCCATGAAAAATCATTCTATTGCATACAGGTAGAGATATATATAAAGTCCATCTAAAACACAAAGTTTATACTCCTTATCTGCGGTGTTCTCTTTGCGCTGCAGTTACATGCCTGTTACGCGAAACCGACCTATGTAGGTTTATCTGTCTGCAAACGTTTATGACGCGTGTATATTTATTGGCTGCGTCACATGCATGGTTTTAAGTTTATTTGAGTATGTTTTCTAGACATTACTATGGGCGAGTCTATTTCTGTATATTTATTTTACGCAGCTCATATTGCGATTAAATACATAACGTTCATGATTGTCGCACTCAGTGACTAATTACGCGCTGATATTACGTTATTTCTTTACTCGACCAATAAGAATGGAGAGATTTCGTAGTAAAATCTTAAATCCTTAGTAGATAAGGGATTACTAGCAAAACGTGTGGGCGGGCTGCAATGGATTTTCAAGGATTATAACCTGAGATTTTCGTAGATTTTCAACACTATTGCCCTAAGTACAGTTTAAGAAAATACCATATAGCTGTTTTGACGATGTTGTTTAGTCTCGCATCGAATGTAAGTTTATTATTTGAAATATGAAATTATTATGCTTGTTTGCATGCGATACTTGTATACTGGCAGTAACATGTGTTCTTCAATCACGAATTCATGCACATACAGTACATCATGGATCAATTGATGCCGGTAGCAGGCATATGAATAAATAGCGACGGCATCTCGTTCGATAGGACTAATAGTAGATGCGCCTTCTGCAGATGGAAACGTCGAACGCAAATCCATATACATGCATCCAACCAGGAGCAGATACGAAAAATGCAACTACAGGCCTCCTGGTTGTGTCCGGGGAAAGTGTATGGATTTGCGTTGGAAGGTTCCATCTGCCCGAGATACTCCATAGTTGGTGCTCAGCGGCTGGACTCTGTGGCTCGGTTGGTTGGAGCGTTACACCGGAATCGTAGGCCGCAGGATTCTTCAATCAAGCACAGTACTGCCAACATAAAGTTCACAATTGAGCCGGTCGGACTTGAGTCTGTATGTTCCGCATCAAATCATGCTAATGCTCTCTGCCAGTTTCTGTAGGGCTTTCAGCAGACGTGGAAAAATGTTGCCCGGATCTTGAATTTGCTTTTCCGAATGTTCCCCAAAAGTATACGTACAGTGGAAAATGTAACCGTGCGTTACGCCATTGTGTATGCAACAACAAATTACATAATAACGTTAAGAATTCAAGCGCTTTCATTGGTCGAGAGCCATGACACACAAAACCTTATCCAATAGCATTCCCTTGTTTGTATAGATTATGTACGCGTGATATTTGTAAAATTTCGACATCATCGATATTCCGTAACTATGTTTCTTTCAGATCTGATCTTCGATGTTAGTACCCCTACATCCAAGGCCGACCAGCATTGTTGGTATGCAGATATGGCATTGAGGGTTGTCGTTCATCCTCGTGATGGGGAGACACCGCTTACCATAACACTGGTCGCACAGACGGCTCATGAGAAAGCGGCTTGGCTCAGTGACTTGAAACAAGTGAGTATCACTATTACTATGATTAAATTCCTAATTGGACATGTATGGTTGGCTACATCATAATGGCTCGATTTATACAAACGTAAAAACGCACAAGTTGTAACAATGCTGTTCCAACAGCTTGTCAACAGGATGTGTTCGCACTGCTTGTTCCCAGCTTATTGACAAGTTGTCAACAGCTTGTTGACCATTTGCTACAAGGTTGTTGAGCTCAACAGACTTGTTACAAGTTGTTCCAACAACTTTTTATCGTCCTGCAATTCAACAATTTGTCAACAAGTTGTGAGTGACAACCTTGTAACAACTTGATAAAATAACAACATTGTTACAACTTGTTGACAAGCTTGCTGCAAGCCTGTTGCGAACACATCTTGTTGACAAATTGTGAGAATTTTACGTGTGTATGACTCGCCTTAGCTACAAGATGCAAATTGTTTGTAAACTTTTTAATGTTTTAATTTTCAGTGTATTGAAAATGTGACTTTAATCGATAATATGCAAGACACATCATTGCCTCTGTCTTCACGTCATTGTTTTGCCAATGTCAGGTTCGTTACAGTAAAACTACATTAAATACTCGCGGTTTAGAGTGATCAACGACGATCTATAGACAGTCAAGGAAAGACGGTTATACATTTTACAAAGAATATTATTTTGTATCTTTGTTCTTTTACGCAGAAATGATCCCAGCTTGTACACAGATGATGTTGGTATTAAATACTCGAAATGTCTCAATTCCTGCAGAATACCACGAGTGAGTAAAGTTTAGGTTTCTTCCTGTAGTAACACTGGATCAATACGAGATCACTTTTACTGGATATCTAGGGTGAACGGTTTAGAACTGATAGTGCTATCCAGTAAAAATAGAGTTAATTTAGTTAATAGGTTTCCTTCTGTAGTAACACTGGATCAATAAGAGATGATCGTTACTGGACCTCTAGGAAGAACAGTTTGGAACTGATAGAGCAATCCAGTATACATAAAGTTAGTTTAGTTTAGGTTTCCTCCTGTAGTAACACTGGATCAATAAGAGATGATCCTTGCTGGACCTCTAGGATGTTGTTTAGAACTGATAGAGCTATCCAGCATAAAAAAATGTGATTTTAGTTTAGGTTTCCTTCTGTAGTACCACTGGATCAATAAGAGATGATCCTTACTAGACCTCTAGGGAGAACAGTTTAGAACTGATAGACCAATCCAGTATAAATAAAGTTAGTTTAGTTTAGGTTTCCTCCTGTAGTAACACTGGATCAATAAGAGATAATCCTTACTGGACCTCATAACGTAATTTCGTTCAAGCTTAAGCCCTCTTCCTTGTTCCTTACATATACATATTTCTCCCCCTATAGATACGTTATGCAAGTCTAAAACGACTCTTTGAACGTTTACTGGACTTACGATTTCTAAGCATTGAATTTTTAAACACGTTCCTAATCACATACCGAATCTTTACTGATGCCGACACGATACTCGATGTGTTGGAGAAATTTTATCATGATCGTCAAAGATCGTATTCTTTACCTATGACGATCGCTGGTGTAGAACACATTATTGGCAGTCGGAGAACGAATTCATTGAATGAAAAATACTCCAAGAAACAGTATGTCCCAGGTGAGCTGGAAAAGATGTAACAGATAAAGCATGAGCAGCCGTGTTGTATCAGATATACAAACTCGAGTCGAAGGCGAGAGGTATGTGATACAACACGGAGGCGAATGCATTATATAGCTTGTGAAACGTCTCGATGACAACATTCGTATTCTTCAACAATTTAAAATAAATTGATGATATTGGGTGAGAAAATTGAACTTAAAGTTTATGTAAATCAGCTTTATTTCTGTATCAAATATACAAACTCCTTCACGCTCGTGATTTCTTTTGTGTTTTCTTCATGAATTATTAATGCGTTTCACAATTATATTTAGAATTGCTTTGAACTTAGCTTAAAGCCCCTGTCAAATTACTAGGATGAGAGTTGAGAAGCGAGAGTTTGCATGAGAATTTTTTCAACTCTCGCGAAGGCTCTGATCACTGGACTACCACAGAGTCTTCAGTCGAGTTTATTAAATTGTCATTCTTCTTTTTCCCAGTTAAAAACCACATCACATTATGCAACGAGGAAACGATCGAGGACGATGAAGAGACACCAGTCCGACCTACTTCACTTCAAATTCCGACATCATGTTACTACCGTCGACACTCTTCCCCCTCCGCCCTGGGGGAGGGTCATGTATTCCAATACCCCACCTCTCTTGAGACCTCTACTACATGTAGCACTATAGACTCTGAACTTGATACAAGCAATGACTCTGAGGCTTTCTTTTCAAGTAGTTTAAAACGTTCAAGGAATAGAGTCAATAGTAGCCCTACCAAACCTCATGGGGACAATGATTATAGTCTTGGTTCTCCGAATTGGTCTGCTACGTCGAGGCAAGGAGCCAGTGAATCTAACCTCGGTTCTCAAACCTGGCTCAGACCGACTCAATATAATAGCGAAGACAACAGTCTGTCACATGCTCAGTATACTAGCCACGATAAAAGCCACTTCGCCGAAGGCAATACTCAAGTTCTTGAAGGATCTGAACTGTGGGAAAAGAAAGTCAGACATGGACTAGAGAATACAGCTGAATCTATACCGGTCATAACTATGAACTGTTCAACCACTGAACCTTTGAATGGAACTTCTGAAATCTCTGAAATTGATGCGAATAATAATACGAGCCCGTTACTGAGCAACACCAGAATGAATAGTGAGTCTTATAGTAACAGCTCAACCCACTCTAATGGTTTAAACGGCAATAGTAAGACAATTCGTAGCAAAGAAGGCCATATTAAAGACAAGCGTGTTAACGGGAGCATCAAAATTGTAAACCAAAGCAACATTAAAGATAATAGCATTAAAAAGGGCCATACTAAAGACCGCAGTATCAACCACGGTAATAGTAAAGAGAAAAAACAACCTAAATCTTCTACGAACAATTGTGGCTTCTCGCTGGGACTTGAACGCTCTAAGGAACTCCCCGAGAAAAGACCGAACTCTTGTCCTAAAACCGTAGGCAAACACAAACCGGACTATCTGCAAACAACCCCCCAGGAAAACCCTAGCCCGAAGCACAGTAAGGCTAGATCTCAGAGCTTACTCGAACGACGCAAGGGGGGGAAGGAAGTGAAATATGGACTCTTAAACTCAGGCGAACTCAAACCCAAGCGAAAGTTCTCATTCCCAAGACCTTTATCGCCGCGGTTAAATCCGAGCCCACCCAAACCCCTGGCAAGTCCTGGGGCGGTTGTGACGTCATCACGGACATCTAAGAGAAGGACTAGTATTACTGCTGCCGCTGCTGCTTTCGCAGCCGCCACCGCGGGCGCACCTTGTTCACCTTCCTCACCGTTTACGTCATCACATGCAAGGTTTTCATTTCGTAAGTATGAGAAAAGTATTTCATGAATTTTTAATGTATCTGGTATACTACCTCTGCATGATCTAACCATTCTTAACTCAGCAGTGAGTTCTGTACAACATCAGATCACTTTAAGGTAGCTCACATTCAAGAACATGTACTACCTCTGCATGATCTAGCCATGCTTAACTCAGCAGTGAGTTCTGTACAACATCAGATCACTTTAGGGTAGCTCACATTCAAGAACATGTACTACCTCTGCACGATCTAACCATGCTTAACTCAGCAATGAGTTCTGTACAACATCAGATCACTTTAAGGTTGCTCACATTCAAGAACATGTACTGCCTCTGCATGATCTAACCATGCTTAACTCAGCAGTGAGTTCTGTATAACATCAGATCACTTTAAGGTAGCTCACATTCAAGAACATGTACTACCTCTGCATGATCTAACCATGCTTAACTCAGCAGTGAGTTATGTACAACATCAGATCACTTTAAGGTAGCTCACATTCAAGAACATGTACTACCTCTGCATGATCTAACCATGCTTAACTCAGCAGTGAGTTCTGTACAACATCAGATCACTTAAGGTAGCTCACATTCAAGAACATGTACTACCTCTGCATGATCTAACCATGCTCAACTCAGCAGTAAGTTCTGTACAACATCAGATCACTTAAGGTAGCTCACATTCAAGAACATGTACTACCTCTGAATAATCTAACCATGCTTAACTCAGCAATGCGTTCTGTACAGCACCATATCACTTTAAGGTAGCTCACATTCAAGAACATGTACTACCTCTGTATGATCTAACCATGCTTAACTCAGCAGTGAGTTCTGTACAACATCAGATCACTTTAAGGTAGCTCACATTCAAGAACATGTACTACCTCTGTATGATCTAACCTATGCTTAACTCAACAGTGAGTTCTGTACAACATCAGATCACTTTAAGGTAGCTCACATTCAAGAACATGAACTACCTCTGTATGATCTAACCATGCTTAACTCAGCAGTGAGTTTTGTACAACATCAGATCACTTTAAGGTAGCTCACATTCAAGAACATGAACTACCTCTGTATGATCTAACCATGCTTAACTCAGCAGTGAGTTCTGTACAACATCAGATCTCTTTAAGGTAGCTCATATTCAAGAACATGAACTACCTCTGTATGATCTAACCATGCTTAACTCAGCAGTGAGTTCTGTACAACATCAGATCACTTTAAGGTAGCCCACGTTCAAGAACATGTACTACCTCTGTATGATCTAACCATGCTTAACTCAGCAGTGAGTTCTGTACAACATCAGATCACTTTAAGGTAGCCCACATTCAAGAACATGTACTACCTCTGTATGATCTAACCATGCTTAACTCAGCAGTGAGTTCTGTACAACATCAGATCACTTTAAGGTAGCCCACATTCAAGAACATGTACTACCTCTGTATGATCTAACCATGCTTAACTCAGCAGTGAGTTCTGTACAACAACAGATCACTTTAAGGTAGCTCACATTCAAGAACATGTACTACCTCTGTATGATCTAACCATGCTTAACTCAGCAGTGAGTTCTGTACAACATCAGATCACTTTAAGGTAGCCCACATTCAAGAACATGTACTACCTCTGTATGATATAACCATGTTTAACTCAGTAGTGAGTTCTTACAACATCAGATCACTTTAAGGTAGCCCACATTCAAGAACACGTACCACCTCTTCATGATCTAACCATGTTTAACGCAGCGGTGAGTTTGTACAATATCGAATCATGTACGTTAAGTAGTGCGCCTATATGTTTCTCAAGGTCAATGCCGATGACAATATGCCGATGATATCGGCCTTCTTTCTATTCGCTTGTTTACGTGTTTAAATCACCTTTTCGTTGTACAGTATTTTGTAAGCGGGGGTCTGTCTGCCAAATTTTGTCCGGTTCAATTCGTTTTCTTTTTCGATTTCATTCAAATCAGCCCTAATCAATACTCAATATGCAGACAAGTTAATATTTAGCGCAGTTGATTAATTTCTTGGGAATTTTCGTTTTTCATTTTCATTTCGAAACCTATTTCGGTGCAAAAATAACACAACACTTCGGACAATTACGGGGAAGATTTCGTATGAAGTGGCTGGACACTCACTAAATGCAGCATATGACAAATCCACATTAAGAGGGAATTTTTTTTGTATATTTCGTAATATGCGTAAATTTAAAAGCTAACGAGCATAATATACCACTTGAAGTTATGACTGCGTTCAACATTTCTATTTTACGATACGTTTCCGGCACTTAAAAAAGCTAGCAGAACAAGTCGGCTCAACTGTTATTGAGCGAGAGCCTTTAAACATCGAACTAGAAAAAGCGACAGAGTTCAAACAGGAAACTGGTGTAGATTTAGAAGATATAGACGATTAATGCGAGATTGCTTCGCAAGGTTTCAATAAGGTTTTAAAGTTAGTCCATCTAACTTAGCTTTATAGCGACGCCTAACTATAATGTTAACTCAGATTTTGTATATACAAAGCTACTTCAATAAATATTATCTTTTGAAAGTTATTTGAAAAGTTAATTACAGCTCAAATCGACAAAACCTTGTCCTTTTAGCCCGAAAGATCCAAATTAGCTATTTCGGTGCAAAAATAACACAACACTTCGGACAATTACGGGGGAGATTTCGTATGAAGTGGCTGGACACTCACTAAATGCAGCATATGACAAAACCACATTAAGAGGGAATTTTTTTGTATATTTCGTAATATGCGTAAATTTAAAAACTAACGAGCATAATATACCACTTGAAGTTATGACTGCGTTCAAAATTTCTATTTTACGATACGTTTCCGGCACTTAAAAAGTATGTTTAGTGCTTTATCTGTAGAATAATGCTAAAATGAAGAGATTTTAGATGGTACCGCCAAAGAGAAAATGATGTCTGAAATTCAGTAACAGTTTTGCTTATATGGCTGTAAATGTGGCGTCAGTTTTAAACTATCATTGATAATTGTATTTTAATAGTCAATTTTTTACTATTATTTGTGTTTGTAAACCGACAAATACACTCAAAAGGTAGCTAACTACAGAATAAAGCTAAAACAAACGGCTTTGAACACTTTTCATATCGCAAATATGCGAGTATATGTCATAGAGACAAATTGCCTCTTGAAATAGTGACACTAATTGAGTCATTTAAATTCCCTATCTTCAATTCTGCAATTATCTGAAAATGAAAATACTTGATGAGTTGTTGCGTCTGCCCAATATCTTGTACAATAAACTTTCTATATTATTGAATATTGTTCTCATTATTTACTCTTATTATAGTTCATCACATATAATATATAAATATTTATATTGTCTTCCGATTAGCTATAACTGTTTCAATTATTAATCTGTTATTCATTAGAATATTCATTAGAATGTTTGTCAATCGCATTGTAACATGCCCAAATGTTCGACAATGTTTTGGCTGTTACAATTCGTCAACATTCATATACAGTTTTATAAAAAATTTCATTATGTTAATATATTACTTATCAGGTGTGGATATATCACTTGGAGAACATCATCCAATATATAATCTATACACAAGTACAAATTCCACCATGATCAAGTAGTTTTCTACTTGTCTGGTGTGGACATCACTTGGAGAACATCATCCAATATATATATATATATATATATAATCTACCCAAGTACAAATCCATCCATGATCAAGTAGTTTTTGTTATTATCTTTGGATATTGAATACATTCAAAATTTGATATTTAGGAAACAAAATTACCAGGCTGATGCTAAAATGATATGTCAGAAAATTAAGACATGCGCATGCCAATGCCTTTTGGCAAGTAGTGTTTCCTGTGGCTCTAGAAAAGGAATTAAAATCTAGAAAGACGTGATGTAACATCGCTAGCTAATGAGTAATGCACTGTATTACAAGGATATAAGGCTTGGTCTTGCAGTGAATTGCTGACTAACGTCCTCTCCACTTAAACACTATTTGTAGATCTGAAGGATCTATCAGATCTGGGTGGGTCAATCATTTTTCCTTGCAAGTTCCAAGGTGAACTTATATGAAGGCCAAACACCTCAAACTGATGACCAAGTCGAACGCTTAAGAACTGTTCGTATGAGTCATGCAACTAACCGATTCTTATCATCTGGTAACAAGGTTGACGAGGCCAACAGACTCGCAACAAATTGTTCCAACAAGTCTGATATCGTCTGCACGTAGTAATAAGTTTTTAACAAGTTGATGACAACAAGCTCGTAGCAACTTGTTACGAACAGCCTGTATTAGTCTTGTTGGAACAACTTGTAACGAGTCTGTTATCGTCATCAACCTTGATTCCATTTCTGTGATTCTTTTAACCTCAGCCATTTGCCAACACAGTTCGTTGCCAAGATGAAAGAATCTTAAATAATATGTATTTATAAACCACTTCAAATTACCCATCAGAAGCAATTCTTGGGAAGTGATTCTATACGGAACACGCGGCAATTTGTATGTGCATAACAGCGCGACAACACCTATAGAAGGATTGTTTTGTAGTGTATCAAATTATTTTGCGTGGGGGTGGGGGATGTCTAACCGTAACGCTCTTAAACACCGATCTTGATTTAACAAAGAGATTTTGTGTTCAATGTGTTGCAAAATCGTGAATATGTGATGAATCAATATTATTCCCTTTTGTTCTTAAAAATAAGACTTGACAATCTTCATCTGCCTTTTTCCTTACTAAATATACTGTACTGTACTGTAGAGATTTTCAGAGTTCAAAAAATTACAACATTGTAAACAGATTTAATTGATAGTGTAAGTTAAATTGTATTACATTAAACACGTAATGCACGTTTCTGAATGTGGATATTAATCGTAAAGTGATCTGATGTTGTACAGAACACACTGCTGAGTTAAACATGGTTAGACCATACAGAGGTGGTACATGTTCTTGAATGTGAGCTACCTTAAAGTGATCTGATGTTGTACAGAACTCAATGCTGAGTTAAGCATGGTTAGATCATACAGAGGTAGTACGTGTTCTTGAATGTGAGCTACCTTAAAGTGATCTGATGTTGTACAGAACAGTCACTGCTGAGTTAAGCATGGTTAGATCATACAGAGGTAGTACATGTTCTTGAATGTGGGCTACCTTAAAGTGATCTGATGTTGTACAGAACTCAATGCTGAGTTAAGCATGGTTAGATCATACAGAGGTATTACATGTTCTTGAATGTGGGCTACCCTAAAGTGATCTGATGTTGTACAGAACTCACTGCTGAGTTAAGCATGGTTAGATCATACAGAGATAGTACATGTTCTTGAATGTGGGCTACCCTAAAGTGATCTGATGTTGTACAGAACTCACTGCTGAGTTAAGCATGGTTAGATCATACAGAGGTAGTACATGTTCTTGAATGTGAGCTACCTTAAAGTGATCTGATGTTGTAGAGAACTCACTGCTGAGTTAAGCATGGTTAGATCATACAGAGGTAGTTCATGTTCTTGAATGTGGGCTACCCTAAAGTGATCTGATGTTGTAGAGAACTCACTGCTGAGTTAAGCATGGTTAGATCATACAGAGGTAGTTCATGTTCTTGAATGTGGGCTACCCTAAAGTGATCTGATGTTGTAGAGAACTCACTGCTGAGTTAAGCATGGTTAGATCATACAGAGGTAGTACATGTTCTTGAATGTGGGCTACCCTAAAGTGATCTGATGTTGTAGAGAACTCACTGCTGAGTTAAGCATGGTTAGATCATACAGAGGTAGTACATGTTCTTGAATGTGGGCTACCCTAAAGTGATCTGATGTTGTACAGAACTCACTGCTGAGTTAAGCGTGGTTAGATCATACAGAGGTAGTTCATGTTCTTGAATGTGGGCTACCCTAAAGTGATCTGATGTTGTAGAGAACTCACTGCTGAGTTAAGCATGGTAATATATCATAGAGACGTAACTGTAAATTAAATCGCAACATTTTTCGTGGAAAACTCCGACTTCGTCAGCATAACTATTTTTGACATACGTCTTTGAGATAAAATCACAAAAGGCTATAAATTACTATCTCAAAAGCCAATATCCGCCTAACTTTCAATTTGTCAAGTGTGTAATCTGTAATTATATCCGGATATATGGCGCAATTGCGCTGAATAATTAATGCCAGGTCACCTGGCGCAAGTGGCTGACTATGTTTCCCATTTCCTTGAAACAAGTTGGTTTTAGACACTTGTAACCTCGCACCGGATGCGTTTTAGTTTATCTGACGTCCGACTCAGTTCAGGCTACTAAGGCCGCTCTAAACCATAGAATAAAGATCCATACAGAGGGGCCACTTACGTCGGAAGCTTTGAAGTTTCTGTTCTCGCGCATGTCGCATTACGCATGTTGATTGTTGGCCGCCATTTTCCTAGCCAGTCAATGACATTTTCTGGCCAATAAACACGCTGTACTGGCTGGCTGCTCCGCCTTCTGGCCAGTAAACTGCATATTTTTGCATAAAAAAACGAGGACACGTTACACCGCTGAGTGGCCCTTCTGTTACTGATTTTTATTCTGTGCTCTAAACTGTCCAAGCAGCTCTAAACTGTTCTCCTTAGAAGTCCAGTAAGGATAATCTATTATTGATCCATGACTTCTTTGTCCAGTGTTAATACAGGAGGAAACCTAAACTGGACCAACTTTATTTATACTGGATAACTCTGTCAGTTCTAAACTGTTCTTCCTAGAGGTCCAGTAAGGATCATCTCTTATTGATCCAGTGTTACTACAGGAGGAAATCTAAACTAAACTAACTTTATTGATACTGGATAGCTCTATCAGTTCTAAACTGGTCTTCCTAGAGGTGCAGTAAGGATCATCTCTTATTGATCCAGTGTTACTCCAGGAGGAAACCTAAACTAAACTAACTTTATTTATACTGGATAGTTCTATCAGTTCTAAACTGTTCTTCCAAGAGGTTCAGTAAAGATCATCTTTTACTGATCCAGTGTTACTACAGGAGGAAACCTAAACTAAACTAACTTTATTGATACTGGATAGTTCTATCAGTTCTAAACTGTTCTTCCAAGAGGTTCAGTAAAGATCATCTTTTACTGATCCAGTGTTACTCCAGGAGGAAACCTAAACTAAACTAACTTTATTGATACTGGATAGTTCTATCAGTTCTAAACTGTTCTTCCAAGAGGTTCAGTAAAGATCATCTTTTACTGATCCAGTGTTACTCCAGGAGGAAACCTAAACTAAACTAACTTTATTGATACTGGATAGTTCTATCAGTTCTAAACTGTTCTTCCAAGAGGTTCAGTAAAGATCATCTTTTACTGATCCAGTGTTACTCCAGGAGGAAACCTAAACTAAACTAACTTTATTGATACTGGATAGTTCTATCAGTTCTAAACTGTTCTTCCAAGAGGTTCAGTAAAGATCATCTTTTACTGATCCAGTGTTACTCCAGGAGGAAACCTAAACTAAACTAACTTTATTGATACTGGATAGTTCTATCAGTTCTAAACT